CGGTGGATCTGGGAGTGTAAGTTGAGTAACTGCTCTTTCTTTCCTACCTTATATATATATCTCCGTCGTCTTTTGATTCTCATGGATCTTGAAAGAACAGATATTTTGATTGGGTTTTTTTCCCCTTTTTTTTTCCCCTTTGTCCTCTATTGATTCCCAGATCCAGGTATTTTGGTTGTTGATGTTGGAGGGCGCAGGAGAAGATTGGTGTAATGATGAAGGGTTCTGACCGCAGAGAGAGAGAGAGAGAGAGAGAGAGAGATCAAATGGAAAGGGAACTATGATGTTCATCATCATTACCTACTCATATTGCCAGGCTCTTGTTTCTTTCTTTTAGGGTTTCTGACTCCGTTTTTTTTTCAATCCTTTTGAGTTTTTGTTAATCCGACTCTTTTTTTTATGGGTCTAATCATGAATTGGGCTTCTATTATACCTTTTTTTTGGGGTTAATCTGATAGATCTGTGGGAAGGTATCGGTAGCTATGATGATACGAATCGTAGCGCGCCCTTATCGCGCATAATATCAAAAGTTGTATGATTCGTATCAGAGATGGTAACAGACGATTTTATTTCTAGGCTTTTGTTACTAGCTATACATTTTGTACTGTAACCATCCCATTAAATTAATTACTCTTCGTATATGGTTTCACATGCATCCAAATTCAGTGTTTTGGTTGCATTGAATAATTTTTTTGCTTGCTTATGGCTGGCTGGTGGGTGGGTGGGTGGAGGTTGGGGGAGTAAGTGTAATAGATATAGCCATGGTGGTATCTAACAATCGTGTAGTCTCCAAGCATTTGTTTTGCTTTGCTTTGTTTGATTGAATGCGGTTGCCTTTCTGGTTCACCTTTTTTCCTGCTTTGTGGTTTCCGTGCTAAAAGGCAATAGCTTTATGGGAACCGTGTGCTCTAGTCAACTCAACACAATCAATAATGTCCTTCCACTTTTCACCCCTTGTTGTTTGCTTTTCTTTCTTTTGCATGGATTTATGCGAAACGTGAATGCTTCTAGCTAGCTGTGAATGTGGAAGAAAGAAAGATAGGAAGTTACCTGACTCATTTAGTTTTTTCGCTGACCAGACTGACTGACCCACAAAAATACATTAGTTTTAACTTAGAAGGGCAAGGAATGATGACGACGATGACGATGACGATGAGATCTCTTTTTTCTCTCTTTCCTAACTCTGTTTTTTTTCACACTTCTTATATCATGTCTCTAGCTTCCTTTCTGAGGCTCGACTCTCGCAGTATAGTAGAAAATAGTAAGTATAGTAGTACGTTCTACGTTGCCTTTCTCACGGTTCCTAAACTGCTGCAGAGGGAAGATTTGATAGCTTGATCCTGCGTACAACTGAAGCTAGCTAGCGTGTGGTTCACACCAAACAAGCTCATCAGTCAACTGTATGTCTCTCTATCTGTCTATCACCATGAAGTGAAATGCATGTAGTTGAAAAAGGAATCAGAAGAACAGAAGGAGAAGAGAGAAGAATCCTCCCATCCATGGAAGCAGCAGCAGCAGGTGAGAGACTCGGGATCTTGTTCCTCTCTACTGTACATCTCCATGGAGCTGAGAGGGACAGTCGGGTTAACAGTTGCGACCAAGCTTCTGCTAATTGTCCACTGGATTATAGCATGACCAAGTTCCTTTTTTTTTTTTTTTGTATTCCTTTTCTTGTTCGTGCAAAAGGGTTTTGAATTTTGAAGTGTGATTATGTGCACAGAACTACACGTATAGCAACTTGTGTTGTAACGGATTGGAAATTCGACAATGCAACTGATAAACGCACAGATCTAGACGGTTCACTATCACGATGTGTATTAACTGCTAATTAATTGTGAGGAGATATATACCAATTTCACGACATAAACTTTATCCAAACCCAAAAAGAAAATGGTTACAGACCAGACTCATAACCGTAAAACAAACACGTTTAAGTCCTCCATGCACTGCGACTGGGATGGGATTAGGTGCTAACACTTATAGGGGTTAGCACCGTGATAACTAGCAAAAAACGCCACTAAAAATAACGAAATCACTACGGATTATTATAAAATCAATACAACATCTAAGCTAAATCACTACTAATTCAAACTAGTAGTAGTTTTCCCTTGGTTAGAACGGTTCTAACTATTGTACAATTAGCACCGTAGCCGTTCCCACCGCGACTCCAGCAAGACCGCTATAACTGGCAGGAGGGCCTTAAATGGTGGGAGACTCGTACCATCTTCCCTCACTTTCTCCCCATCGAGTATTTACTATTATGCAAGTTCAGTCACCATCAGCTAGCATTGACGCCAGCCAGCCATGGGATTCCTCTTTCTCCCTCTTCTGCTTCTCTTCCATTGCCAACCAAACTCTGATCATTCCATTAATGCACTCTGCCCGGCCACCACCAATATACACACTATCATGGCTCAATAATTTGCACAACTGCAACTCTAGCCATCTACCTTCTTCTTCTCTCTCTACCAATCTCTCCCAGCCCTATGATTACCATCATCATTACTGTAATCATTCCACGTGGATCGAGTCAAACTCTAACCCTACAATTATTTACAGAATCTAGCTAGCAGTAAAACAAAAAAACAAAACATGTGTGTGCGGGTGGGCGTGGGTGCTTTAATTTGGGTTGTCAGCTTAATTGGTGGGTTGCAACCATTTCTTCTCCGCCCTTTTTCCACTCCTCCATCCGCCTTTGTTTTCTTCCCATCACCAGCAAGTTAGCCGGAACTTTTTTTTTTAAACCTTTGTCAGCATGCATATGCATTTTTTCCCTCTGATTTTTATACTAAAAAATGGATTTTACTGGTCATTTGGCTGTGCTTCAGAGTTCAGCCTGTAGTAGTCCCCCCCCCCCCCCCCCCCCCCCCCCCCCCCCCCTCTTTCCAGTTTCATTCCTTCGTCATAACCTTAATCCCAGTTAGAGGTGGCAATTATGATCCAAATCCATGAATTCAATCCAATCCATCCACCTAATTCAATCCATTTAAATCCAATCCATTTGATCCAAATCCAATTGGATTGGTAGATTCATGGATTGATCCATAGGTACAAATGACAAATTATGTTAGTACCAATATTTTTTATATTTTACATTTTGATACCTAAAATTTATATTTTTATACGAAAAATAACACTGAAAAAATTACATTTTGGTACCTAAAATTTTTCATTATGACATTTTAATACCTAAACTTTTCCACATTTACATTTTGGTCCAAGCCTTGGATGTCATTTGGATTCATGGATCAATCCACCAATCAATGTGATCCAATCCATGGGTCCACCAATCCATTGGATCCAATCCATTTGATCCATTGATCCACCAATCCAAATCCACGAATCCACGAATCCGATACAATTGTCACCTCTAATCCCAGTTATTGGTTTACACCGAAAGCGCGCTCTTGCTTTGCACTTAAATTAATTGAGGTTTGACATTGCCTAAATTGTTATATTGTTTCCGAAAATTGAGACGCGGGGTCTGGGTGACAAGAATATGAAAGCCTATATCGAAAGAGTGGCACGTAAAATTCGCAACCTTGTTACATAATTCGTATGAGAGATAGTCACCTCTCGATTTCGTTCGATCAGTTCCTAAATGAGGTGCTGTCACGAGTTATTTGGTCTCATTAACTCCTATCACTTTTGAATTATTTAAAATAACTCGGAATTAACTCACTGTCAAACAACGTATAGTTTTGCTACAAAATATTGTGTGATTCATCTATAAAGAGTTGTATTAAAAAAAAAAAGCTTAAACAATCCATCCTAATCTTCTCCTCTCCCCATGACAATTAATTAAAGATTAATGTGGGTGGTGGTGGTGGTGGAGCGCAGAGAATGAGAACACGAATACATGCAATTCGAAACAGCACAAACAGTGGATTGCTATTTACGAGCTATACAATGGAAACCAAGAGGAAAGCATCAAACAGAACACGATAGCAGCAAAACAGCTAGCTTACTCATGGCACAATTAACCATTATGAGGTTTGTTTAATCAAAAACCACTTTTTGGTTTTTGGTTTTGCCACCATCGATCCAGCTGGGGGGACATAAATATGCAGAGCTGATATATAAAAAAATAAATTGGTTCTTCTGCTCTTCCCATCCATGGCGGACAGCACGCAGTCCAAATCACATTTTTCCATCCATCACTCACTGTTTTTTTGGTGGCCAGCAACAGCAACTTAATTCTAACCAGACTTTCTCAAACAGTTGAGATTTAGCGCTACTGCATGCGTATATTGTTCTACTATTATTTTCACCTTCAGCCACTATTTTTTCTTTCCTCCTGTAATTTGGCCAGGCCCTTGCATTGTTCGCGGGGAAAAGGAATCGTGGTTTAAAAAATGGAATGAATAAGGAAAATCAACTAGCCAAACAACTTTCGCAAACGGCCTACTTTTTTAAACAGAGTAATCAACGATCGAAAAAAAAGGAAATATGGACATAGAAAGAAATCAGCAAGTCTTTCAACACGATTCGACATTTCAAAACTTTACTTATATGTCCTGGATTTGTCTTCTAAAACTTTGTTCATATGGATTATCACGCGTATTTTCTTTGTCTGTACTTTTTTGTTGATATGGGCGATTTTGAACTCAATCATAATTCAATTTACAGTTTTTATATATAAGTTTTGAAGGAAAAAAAAAATTAGAATACATATTGTAAATTTACGTCCAACATAGGCACGTAATGGTGCGACAAAATCATGTTGTAATTTCCGGATTCTACTAGTTATATAATGCAGAAACTTCTACTGCTCTGGAGTTGTAAGAATTCCCAGCCACAGGTTACCATTTTAGTGACTTGAAAACCCAGTACTCCAGCGTCAAGAGTTATTTTGGTGAGAACACTTGTTCCATGAAAATTCTTAACTGGGAAGAAGAGAAAGACAACAGGTCCAGGCAGCAAGGTAAACCAGTAAATGCCTCTGGTTTCGAGTAAGAAACAAAACAAAACAAAAAAGTATCAGGGTGAATCAGAGGAAAATGCATGCTGACAAAGAAGAAAAGGTTGTCCAATTACCATTGCTCAAGAGGAGGAAGAAGAAAACAAAAGGGAGGGAGAGAAAAGAGAGGTGCAGTGAACAAAGCGCGGAGAAGAAAATATGGTTTTTTGCAACTGCCAAAACCCTCCTCCCACCACTTCAGCTGACAAAACATTATATACACAGCAAAGCTATACCTAGCTTAGCTAGCACACATGCAGGTACTAGATTCTCTAAATAATTCTTAGGGTTTAACTTTTACCCCAATTTAGATGCAATGACACAATAGTAATGATGATGGTAATCATATAGCTAGAGTTGCAGGTGGCAAATATAATTGTTTCATGATAGTGGGCGGTGGATTAATTGATCAGGGAAGAGAACCAGAAGCAGAGAGAGAGAGAGAGAGAGAGAGAGAGAGAGAGAGAGAGAGAGAGAGAGAGAGAGAGAGAGAGAGAGAGAGAGAGAGAGGAAGAAGAAGAAGAAGAAGCCATGGATGGCGTCAATATGCTGATGGTGACCAAACTTACTCAGTAGTAAATACTCAGAGAGAAAGAGAGAGGAAGATGGTAAGAGTTGCAGAGCATTTAAAGCCCTGATCACTCTTTCAGTCTGTTTTTGCATATACATGAGACTCTAGGTCAGGTGGTCAGGGAGTGGTACTACTCTCCAAACCCATCACAGGACTCAGAAATTGATGATGACAATTCCATAAGGAAATATTTAGGGTGAAGCTATCCATGGGCAGAATGAAGCTACCAAATCCCACCATTTCCCTAATAAAATTAACAAAAAGAATGCATTATTTAGGCCAAAGGAGTAATAATGAGCATTCACTTTCCCCACACAAAAAAAAAAAAAACCAGGCAAATCAAACAACGAGGTAAAAAAATGGGGGCAGAAGCAGAAGACATGATTATCACGACGGGTGGCTATAATTGGCCCAAATTGATCCGGTCCAGTTCAGTCTTTTTGAAAATATAAGAACCGAAGATTGGATTGGATACAGTCTGGTCTTGATCCGGTCCGGTCCCAATTCGGTGTTGATTTTACATTGAGATTGTGGGATTTGAGTGGCCTAAGGCCTTAAAGGGTGTTGGTTAAGTTTTATACTAAGTGCAAAAGTTTGTGACCGTTTATGCAAATTACCCTTAAGTTTTGGGTGTTGAGCTCTCTTATCCGGTCTTTATCCGGTTTTTTATCTCAAATCTAAGCCCAAAGATTGGATTGAATTGTTTACTAACCGGTCCCGATCCGGTCTCGGTCCGGGTTATACAGTCCGGTTTCCGGTTTTTAATCCGGTCCCAGTCTAAAATAGCCACCCCTAATTATCACGATGATGAGGAGTTGACTAGAGTCAAAGCACAAGGTTTTAACAAAAGGCCTATGCATTAAACAACACGGATGCTATAATGTTCATATCTTCTAATCGCGGTGAACAAACTCTGTCGGTAACCATACAATGACAATGATGATATTACAAATAAGGCAACATTACAGATCTCGATCAGCCAAACGTTTAGAGTTTGCGATCCAACAAGATCGACACCGCATTAATATTGAAGCAAAATTCACACCGACCAAACCGATTAATCAAAGATAGCCTTCTACCACGTTGTCATTGAGCAGTAGCAGATGTTGGGTAACTTTGAGTTAGATGAGGAGCGTGGCCATGCATCTTTGTTTAAGTCATTTCGTGTCTCCTTGTAATTTGTCTTTTGAAAGAAAGAGTGGAGATTCTCTCTTGTTTTAGCAAAACAACGTACGGGAACAATACCAAGGAAAATAATACAACACATTTTCCAAACTGGACACACACAACTTGGAGGGGACTGCTCGCTAGCCGTAAATAACATTTACTAGACTTAACTCAGTGTAGTATGAGTGTATGATCCTTGCATGTTGAATTACAAACTAAACTAGCCCTTGTTCGCAAATAAAATTTCTTACACTCAAACCATAATCGGTGTGGTCAGGTCAGTGACAACTAAAAGTCAGATAACTTTCTTGCACATGCACTGATTCACTTTCCCCTACATAAATCCATGCAAAACAGCGACGGAAAAAGGGACGACATTATTACCTTGATGAGTTGACTAAAGTGCACGGGAAACCACTATAAAAAAAAAAGGGATTCCAAAGCAAAAGGTGAGAACTAAAAAGGAACACCACAACAACAAAAGGTAAGAAGACCCGTTCATTCATTCATGCCGACAAAGAACAGGAAGAAGACAAGTTCAGAAACGGAGGGAGTGTGAGTGTATGGTCGTCCGATAATACCACAGCCATTTAACACCCTCGCAACATCTAACCTCCACCAACCCACAAAGCAGAATTTATGAACGAATGCCCAAGTGTAAGGCTGGAATATCAAAGATCTGTGAGATTAATCCAACCGAGATGCGTATTTCCCAATAATTCGAGTTATTGGGGTCAAGTGGTTAGTTCGCTAACATGGTATCAGAGACTAGAATCGAAAAGTCATGGTTTCGAATACTCATGACGACACCCAATTTAAAAACAATGGCATAGTATAAGTAACGGTATGTACAAACTGAAAGCCTAATGGGTTTGGCAGCACAAAAAATGTATACGTACATTCAACCTGTGCAAACTGTATAAGAAAACCCCAAAAAAAGATAGGCTTTCGTTTGAGTGGGGGCGTATAAGAAGAGGTTAAAAGGGTTAACTATTCATTTCCCAACAATTCGAGTTATATTGGGACCAAGTAGTTAGTTCGCTAAATGATCTGGAACTACTACTGAACTCAATCGACATGAACTGCAAAATACCACGTCAGAAACCCTAAGAAAAACAGAGTTTGGAGAAACAAATGATACGGGATCCAACAGAATAAAACGGCAAATAGAGATGAATAAAGATCAGTTACCCAACTTGCTTTCCCAGATCTACGGGTGAAGAGAAGGAAACGTTGGGTGTGAATCTCATTAGGGAAGAATGATCGGGCAGTGGAGCAAATTAACAATCGGGGGGAATGAAGCCTGGTCCGACGTCACTATTTCAATCAATCCAGCCACAGCCACAGCCACAGCCACACAGCTTCAAACGATCCAAACCAAAAATGGAAGGAAGCCAAGGCAGAAGAAAGACTAGTGGCCTCGAGCCAGACAACAGTCCCCTCAAAAGATCTTTTTAACAGCTTTCCACCACGACCGTTTTCGCCTCACACATAACCAGAGAAAGATTTGCGAAAGAAAGAAAAAAGACGCAAAGATAGAGCTGGGAAAGAGAGGAGGGGATGAAAGAAAAAAGGGGGCGGACTGCGGACATAAAAAGGCTAGGAGAGGCGGTGATGAACGGACGAGATGCGAAAGGCCGAAAACCTAATAACCTTATTACTCACTCGCCCCTTCCCCAAAATTATTATTTATACGGTAATTATTATGTTTATCAAATCTACAAGATATATGAAGCGAAAACAAGAGTTGGGTTTGCAGGGATTCAAAATTCCTGCGCAGAGAGGGTTTTGCGGAAGGACCCAATTGTAATTTTACCCTTTAAGTTAATCTCTGTGTGTCGGCCATGCTTCTCCTGGTGGACTATATATTAGCTAAATGGGCCACGTCAATATATAGTCGGTTAATGGCCCATTATATCCGCCCGCAATCATTTGCAATGGGCCCAAGCCCTAATGTCGACACCATCAAGCAAAAGCAACACGTGAGTTCTGAGAGGCGCTGCCGTGGAAAACCATCTCCGAGTTGACTTCGTTCACCGTGTCGCCTCCGTTCCCCTCCCCTGCAATTCAACTATCCACCTATTCCCCACCTGTAATTGTGAGGGAGAGAGCTGCTTTTTTCAGCCACGCGTGCGACCAGAGCCAATGTCCTTGCATCGACGAGTCTTATGCTGTTACTACTTCAGCCTGTAGCAAAAATAGGTATGCCCCTTTTCATTTGTGTCGTCAACGTGCTAGCTTATAACTGCAACAAGTTACAAGCTTTTTTTCTTCTTCTTCTAAATAAACCAATTGGCAGACGAGGTGGTGTACAACATTAGTGGACTAGATAGGTGAATTTTGTTGTATGTAATGCTTTAATCATGATTGAACTACGATTTTAGTACAAAAATATGTAGTATAAATAATAATATATACTTTTTTAATCTCTAAAATGCAAGTCACGATAGACAAAAATTAATTTGATGTGGGAAATGATCACAAGAAAAGCCATAATGCAAAATTAGATTTTTAATTAGATATTGAATAAATACAGACGACTATATTGCATGGTGCTGTGTTGATTAGTTTTGTCTTGGGGCATTATTGTTTATAAGGGAAAAATAGATTTATCCATATTTGTATTATAACTAAGTCGTTTCATTTTCTACAGTTTATTTGATGGCTCCTGTACTAAGCACATATAAAACCTGTATAACACGTTCAATATCCGTATTCAAAAAATTAAATTGCTAACTTAATTATTATCCATATATATAATAATTAATTTTTTATATTTTATAACTATTTACGTACTATTAAACATAACATTAGTTTAAAAATGAAGTAATTCGTCGTATTTTATATGTAACATACATGTACCTTATTGTATTAACCATGGGATTGATATAATTTTTATATGAAAATTTTGAATTATGACTATGTACTAAACTTAAAATGTAGCATCTGTTAAAAATAAAGAATGTCAGACGCATGTGCCATGCCTTTTTTCTGAAAGACTTTAATATATTTGATTTATATAAATTGACCCAAGCAAGTTAAAAAGCCAAGAAGAGTATTACACATGGGCCTGCTTCAGATTATGGGCCATCTACAACCCACAATCAACTGCGGAATACACTTCCTTTCTCAAAGCAGTATGTGGAGTAGGTTGCGGCCCACATGTCCAGATTAATTGACAACCACCGTCGACTAGGTTCTTCCAACTTTTCCGGTGCCCATTTACAAGAGAAAACCAAACTCCACCACCATTCTGTTAACCAGGCACAGATAGGGATTCTCATTGCTGCCGGAACCGGGAAACAGTCGAATTCCTCCACTGAGTTGCTTTCGGTGAATGCCAATGATTGTGTATTTGAAATTGGGGATAACCACCACATCTAATCTTTCCCCCATCAGATTACTAAGTTCCGCATCCCCCTTACAACTGACTCAGGGTGCGCTCTAAGTAACCGCTCCAGAGATGTTGTTAGTCGTGGTCAACGTGGGTTCTTTTGTAACTGTCTCCACGAAAATGGTCAGGCTTTATCTACTTCAAGTTCCCCGATTCAGCTCAGTATTCATATTGCAATCTGTCAAGTTACCAAGTACCTGTTCTCCTCTAAACAACCTCCATCTGTTTTCCACCGTGAGAACAACTTAGTTCCACAGGAACATAACTATTTGCTCATGTATATTGATAGGTAGAAGATGGAATTCAATGGCATGCGAGAACTTGATTATGAGAAACAAATCTGGGCAGGACATTGTCGAGTCTCTAGGCTTTGGCTAGGTGTACATGTCACGACAGACAAAGTCCTGCATTTGAACATGATTAGGGGAATGATATACGAGTCCACATCCCACCGGTGCTGCAAGATCACCTCAAGTCACTGGTGCAGGAACAACAAGTTTACATTTTCAAGGACTATGAAATTCACCCGACCAAACTCTAATATCGGCCTATTGGCAATTCATATGTCATGTGTTTTAATCGGAAGACTATTGTCCAACATGTTCTTGACATCCCTTCCATTCCTGCCTTCAAGTTCAGTTTCACTAAAGCAAGTGAGATGCCAGCTAAATTGGGAGAAATACTCATCCTCTCAGGTTACTTCCTTGCTCATTATGCATGGCTACTGTTGCTTATTGTGATACTTGGTTCTAATAACAATTCCCTCTTTGTGTCGTAGATGTTGTCGGGGAATTGGAGAAGCACTCGAATCTCCTTACCACCACCAATATTGTTCGAAAAACCACAAGGAAGGAGCTTGATCTGAAACTGAGTGAGTAAATTCCTATCAGTCTTACACCTGGAAGAGCATGAATAAGTCTTGAATCCGATCATGAGCTATTATTGATTGTTGTATACCAGTCTAATTTCTGTTAGCATGACAAAATTACAGATAACTTATTTACACAAAACGAAGGTAGCTAGACATCCTAAGAAAGGCAACTAATTTGACTTGGTTAATTCTATTTCAGGATTAGGTGTTAGTTGCTTTTAACCCTTTGATGGCCCGCTGTTTGGTGGTGTAGACTTGATGATCTCAATAGATAAAGAGATTAGGTGTCTGATGTCATTCCAATACCTGCTGGTTGTTTGTCAAGATGCGTTTCTTTGTCTGAAAGTTAAATTGAGTTGTTTTTTAGTTTCAATTCTTTTTATGGCCCAATGTGTGGCGACATGGACTTTATGATCTTAATAAGTAAAGAGATTAGATGTCTCAAATCATGCACCTACCTGCTGGACAGTTTGTTCAACAAGAGTTCCTTTGTGTGAAAGTTCGTACATCAAACTTTGTAGTGTTGGGTGTAATTTCAGTCCATCCATTATATTGTATTCTCTTTGGCTTAGTTGAGTTATTCATTATCTATGATCTGAAACTGTTTCTAAAATTTTGTGTAGAGGTGATGTTGTGAAAGTTGTTATCTGGGGAAGAGTTGTATCTGAATTTGATAAAATAGTCAAAGCTGTTAGTGAGCAACCTGTAATTCTGGTTGTCACTGCTGTTGTTGTCAAAGTATTCCAGTGCAAGGATATGATTTCTTTCACGCATATGAGATATATGGTATGTGAATAGAAAGAAATTGACTTGACCTTTATAAGTGAGCTTTCATTTTCTTCTTCCGGGTCAACAGTTCTGTATCCTAACCTTGATATACCGGAACTGGAAGTGAAGGATTTCACAACAAGGTATTTTCTTTTACGTGATACTCAATACTACACTATATTGTTAGCTCAGTTTTCATTGAATCCTTTATTTCTTTTCTGAAAGAATGTGCAACCAGAGCAACCCATGCATGTTAAGCTGCCACCACCTGCCCCCATTCCTTCTCTTTCTCTTGCCTGAATTGCTGGAATTACATATGGATCCGAACAATGAGGTGAAATTAAATTGTCTTATTGAATCTTATAAATTTCCAACTTATTCTTAGATATTAATTCACATGTGCTAATGATTAAACCATTTTGGTGTTACATGGGTTGCCCAACCTGTGTCCTTAAACCCTTACTGTGTGAAATGCAACAAGCTGGCTCCAATTAGAGCTGCCAACTAAAGTTCCTTTTTTTTTTTAACCTCAAACTCAATGGCATATGATAACTGAAACCTACTTTAAAATAAATATACTTTCTTTCATTCCCTTCTTATCAGGTATCAGATTCAGCTTGAGGTTGAAAGCAATTCAAAGTCAGCAACCTTTATACTTTTCGAGTATGAAGGGAAACGCTTCTTTGGGCCATCTGCTAATGATCTCTTCAATAGAACTGGTCAGAACATTGAGGTACCTCCTGCATATATGCTCAAAGTAATTGGTGTCACCAAGCTAATCCATGTGAAGTTCAAGCCAAATCTATAGTGTGATGCTCAACCTGATTCCACCGCGTTAAAACTTTTGGAACCCGAATCAATGGTGAGCTTTCTTATAAAGCCTGTATATTTTTTATGGGGTTAATCTTGCATGTTTTCTGACAGTAGAACCAACACATGTCTGTTTGCCATGAATACCAATATGTTCAATAAGTTGTGCATGCCATAACTGCTTTAACTAATTTATGTATCTTTCCACCATTTCTATCTTAGTGTTCGAACTCTAATCTGCATGACAACTCCTCTTCTTTACTCAGTAGTGGGATTGAGTCCTCCAAAGCTTCATCTCACAAATCCATCTCCATTTCAACAGCCAAAGAGTCTGCTTCTATGCCCCCTGACAACAAACTCAAGCGAAAGATGCCTTTGGCGTGAAGGTTGCTTTGATGGAACTTGCCAAGCCTCTGGGTTCTTTGCTGCTAATTGGACTTGCACTTTGATTTTTAAATAGAATAGCCTTACAGAAGTTGTGCTATTTCTCCATCTCAACGCGTGGCCATTATTTCCCACAATCAACATTCCTGCTATTGGATTCCAAAGTAAAGGTTATGGTTTTGTCTTCCTTACAGTACAGAGTGGATCCAAAACTTAATAAACCATTCAATTTCATGCATGACCTGTGAGAGGAATAGACCAAACTTACAGTTATGGTGGTGGCTGGAACAGTCCCTCCAGCTGCATCAAAGCAAATCTGCGCATCTGGAGAAGAGCCAAAGTGCTGGCATTTTTGGATTCTACTGACTTTCAACTCAATACCCTCCATACCCATTGAAGATCCCCAAACCAGAATTGATGAATGCACGAACCGATAGGGTTCCTCTTCTGCCTTGCCTCGACCCTCATAACCATTGACGAACACACACCCAGAATTGATGACCGGCGTAATTGATGGCTTGCTTTTCCACCTTCGTTCCACGCTCCCCGACACCCGATGCAAGTGTGCTGGAGCTACTGAGATTCAATTTGTGAGTCTTCTTTCAGATCTAGATGTTGATAATCGAACCACCTCCCGTGGCGCAGTCGGGGGCGACCTCGGAGTCTGCATGGGTTTCGTCAGCGCGATCGACAACCCTTTGCTACACGTTCCGGGCATGAAACTGAAAAGTTTGGAAGGGAGATGGAGGAAATAAGTGTTCGACTGGTTTCCAGAGTTAATTGTTTATGGATAGAGATTGGGGAGGATGTGGGAGGTCAAAATTTGACCTGAGGTTCTGGTCGGGCGAGAAGTTTGTCCTCGATTGGGTTGAGCTACAAATAAATTCTTAGCTATTATTTATAATAATGAGTTTGCTTTAATAAATAATTTTATTTTTCACTCTCATGGTGAAATTAAAACTATAATATCAAGGGGCCATGTTTTTTTTTTCGCCGTAGATATCCCAAAGGGGAATAGTAGATACGAAGTATATAACAATAGGGCCAAGTTTTTTATTGGTGACCGAAGTACGTATTTCTAATTTGTTTTTTACGGTCATCTTACATACCATTTTTGCAACACATTACTGGTGTAATTGTCTATCCTCATGGTTTGTTTAATTTTACCTTTCTCCTATAAACACTTGAGGCACATAATTTTTAGCTCAAAGTAACCAAAAAAAATTAAACGTTTTCAATTGAGTTCATATTTCAACGTTTATCAAATAATACGGTTATGTGTAGGTTACCCGCCCAACAGGCCGGGCCCGGCGCTAGTAATGATAAGAAAGGAAAATGGAGAAAAGTAGGGCTGGCAATTTGATTCAGTACTGTTTGGTTTTATTCAAAATCGGACCGTATAACTCGGACCGGGACCGGATAGCAAACAATCCAATCTCATATTCGGGCTTAGATTTGTGGTAAAAAACCCGGATAAAGACCGGATAAGAGACCCCAACACTCAAATCCCCACAAGCTCAATTTACAATCAAAATCAAATTGGGACCGAACCGGGTCAAGACCGGAGTGTATCCAATCCAATCTTTGGTCTTTATATTCCCGAAAAGACCCGACTGAAACTGAATCAATTTGATCCAATTTAACCGGACTGGACCGTATAGCCACCCCCTAGGGAAAAGTAAACCCTTTTGGGGGGGGGGGGGAAGCTGTCTACATTCTCCAGCCCCTTATATCATAATTACCTAATCACACCATCATATTCATATCCAATACCTTGCCTTTGCCTTTCTTTCATAAGCACTGCCCACCTTCGGTCAGCAGCACTCAGCAGGCTTTTAGCTACACAGCCCCTATGTTTTGAAATGTAATTAGATTTAAGTGATTTAGTTATTATACTTAACTTCTTATAGTACCCCGGAAAAATATTCCAGTACGTATGTTTTAATCTTTGATTTACCCGTTCCTGGAGTAACTCAATCGTTGTAACTATGATCCGATCGATTTTGTAGTGACCAACGTGTTACAATCCATTATGATGCAGTTACTATGGCAAAAAAAAACGTAACCACCTATTATAATCTAACACGTGTGCAAAGTTTATTTCGTGAGTTAGTGGGCGGATTTCTAAATATTTTTGTTGAGCTACACCCTAGTGTATTGAGTGACATACGTGACTCGCTTATTCTTTTCTTTTAGTAACATGCAGATCAATGAGTTTAACTTAAAGCATTACCTTAATAAACTACAAAATTAATGGGAGATTGAATCTATAAAACTTCCGTCCAGGATTCAACAATTTTAGCTGAATAACCAGATGTAAATTTACCGTATGCGAACATATGACTAATTTGAGAAGAAATATTTGAGCAACAAGAAGGAATGTGTGTGGAGCCTTGTATATTACAATTATATGAGCATAAAGACTACTCGATCCAATGCGATCTTGCTCCTTTTGAAAGATTTAACAAAAGTTTAGTAAGTAGCGGTGTATCGATTCTGTGGTTTCTTCTCTTTTTAAATTAGGGAATATTATGGTTCTCAAAAGAAATAATAGATGAAACCAATTAATTTTGGGTTGAACCCTTCATAAGACTTGAACTACCTCATGTAGTCATGGTCTAAACCCTACTTAGACGGTCGCTATTCGCTAACTACCGTTTACAATTTGCTAAGGAGCGATGGATATTTAGTTTTGTTGACATTTCTCAAATGAGCATACTTAGTAAATACTCCGTTTAATACACGTATATGTACTTGCAAGGGAGTAATGCTGGCGTATTTAATACTCGATATCCCCAAAAACAAAACTCTGAGATCTTAATACTCACACACACGTGAGTTTCTAATTCAATCCCTTAGTAATTGTATCACATAATTTCTATCATTAATGTGATGGTAGACAAGTTTCATAATTTAAAAAGCTTTGTAATTTCTCTTCATGATCTTCCCTTTTATTAAATTTACACATATTAGTAGCCAATGGAAGCACAATCCCATCTCAAGGACCCCATAAAAAGTACTTGTTTACTTACTTTCACAATGTAACCCAACCCAATTACTTACTTTCACAATGTAACCCAACCCAACCTTTCATTAATATCACCGTTGTACTACGTATATAAAAATACATAGGTGGAACTAAAACGGAAAAACCAGCCAATCTGGGCCTGTGAGTTGGGTTGGGCTTTCTCTCTTGTCACCCACCTCGATCCACTAGATCGAGCATTCATGATAACGACGAAGAAGCCCGCCTCCAGATCTGCTCGAGCTCCCTGGCGAAGGCCCTCTGGCGGCCCACAACGATGGTGATGTGGTCTTTCCCGTCGACGACCTTGACTCGGGCGCGCGGCACCCTCCGCTGCACGTTGAAGCTGCACTCCACCGGGATGAGCTCGTCGTCGCCGCCGTGGAACACGTTGACGTGGCATCTCAGCCGGTCGCGGACGTCGTCCAGGTAGCCGTCGAGCTTGCCGCCGGTGCCGCAGATGATGTTGTGGAGGGTGTGCCACGCGGCGTTATGGGTGTGGCAGAAGAACCCTTCTAGCAGGAACGTCGGCACCCTGCAAATAATAATTAAAATTAAATAGTAATCGCCACCTTCGGTAGATTCAGTGGTGACAATACATGTAAAACCGAAAGAATTGAATGGATTTCTGCTTTCTTCGTCGGTTTTGGTTGGATGATGACTTATATAATCCATCTACATTTGACTCATTTTTTCCTGTACTTAGCTGTGATGTTGAAAGTTGCAAAAAAGGTAAAAATCAATTTACCTGTTTCTGGTGACCAGTTTGGCAAGAAATTCCCAGATCCGGTGCTGCTTGCAGATCAGCAGGCAAATCGTGCGCGAAATATGCTCGTACCAGCACGCCATCGACGCGCCAAACGCAATCGTCGGCCACACGCGCCTCGGCGCCAGCTTCCTCATCACGTACTGCGTCGCCGGCACCCCTTCCGGCACCGGGAAGTACGGCTGCAAGGGCAATGTTACAACTTCAGTCACCATGCAATCTAAAATCTAATCAAAATTAATTTTTAGGATAACGGAGTGTACTAACGGGGGCGAGGAGGGTGATGGACTTGACGGCGTCAGGGTGCCTGACAGCGAGCGCGAGGGCCAGGATGCAGCCCAGCGAGTGGGCCACGATGTGGAACGATCTCACCTTGTGCGGTGCCAGCACGGACCGCTCGATCGTCTCGAGATGCTCCCTCACCGTGTATAGTGAGTCGCTGGGCTTCGAGCTCCTCCCGAATCCCAGAAGATCCACCGCGAACATGCGGTGTGTCGATTTCGTCGTCGCGGAGAAGTTCGGAAACAACGTCTCAGTCCAGAACGACGACGAAGAGATGAACCCGTGGATGAACAACACATCTTCTCTCGCCCTGTTATGATCTATTTGTACAGTCGTGGAGTTAGATTAAAGTTATGAGCAGAGGTAGCGCCCCACTCAATTTTAAAATGTAGGCACAAATTTGGAATAGTCGATAAGCCTTTACCTCCTCCCCAAATTACGACGATTCAAGTCAGTGCGGAGTTCTAGCTTTGTTACTTAGTTTGTAATTTTTCCCGAATTACAGTTCACCGATTGGAACTTTTAAAATTGAACGAAATTGAGATTCTTATAAATTTTTTTTTTTTTACCTTTTGATCCTTGGACTCTAACAAACAAATCCTCTGTCCCAGAAAAGCTCCAACTGGTGCAGAATCTACAGTCGCAGTCGGACCAACGAGGCGAGTGTCGAATCCGATCACCGCCCCCGCCGCCGATCTTCCCCTGAAGCATTTTCACGACGGTGGCGGAGTTCACGGTGAAACTGACATCCTCGGTGACTGCAGTGAGCTTCGAAACTTCGGAGACGAGGGAAGGGCGGGAAAACAGAGTATCGGAGACCTCTTCGAGGTCGAGCTTCGTGGAGGCGAGGGAAACGATTCTCGACTCGCCCCGCTCTGATAAAAAGATCTTGCTGTCTTTCGGGGAGGTGCAATAACAGGGCTTCCACTCTGCCTCGATCAGGAAATCCAGCAGCTTGTAAACGAAACAGAGGACGAAATCCAGAAGGTCGAGGAACGAGAAGACGACGAAGCTCACTGCCTCGTGTACCATTCTGCCCGTCCAATTCAACGCCATTTTGGGTTTCCCCATGGCCAATGCAGCCAAAAAATTTTTTGGGGGGGTTAGGACGAGATTAAGCATAACAGGGGAAGGGGGTTGGGGTTATAATGAAGGAAGGAAGAAAAAATGGCCGCCTTCTTTGCAGGCCAATTAATTCGTAGAAGCCAAACTGTCATGAGCAGTAGTAGTAGGACTCTAGGAGATTTGAATATTTGATCCCTTACTTATACACTATAATGCAAATGGAAAAATGGGTCTTTGTGGGGCAGCCTCTGAATCTTGTTACGAAAACAGAGTGATGAATCTGGTTTGATTTTGCTAGTGCCAAACGCTATGTAAGCTGGAGGAGATGGGAAAGAAGGGAAATGGGAAAAGTTCCCGACATTGTAAGAAGAGGAGAGGTGAAATAAATGATTCTACTGTAGTCATGTGATTTGTTGCATATAACGTTACTTGGATTGTATCATTCGTTGGAAGAGAGAAATGGGTTTGGTTGGGTTAGGTGGTGGTTGAACCTCCAAGCGGGATACAATCTGTTAGTGTTGTGGTATATGATCCACGATTGAACCTCTTCTAACAACTCGAGTTATTGGGAGCAATTGGTTCATGACATGGTATCAGAGCCTTCTGTGACCGAGAGGTCTTGTGTTCGACTCCCGGTGACCTCCATTTGTTAAGCACATGGTATTCTTGTCTTCAGACATGTGCAAACTTCAAGCCCTTGTGAGTGGCTTTCGTTTGAGGGGGCGTGTTAGTGTTGTGGTATATGATCCACGATTGAACCTCTCCTAACAACTCGAGTTATTGGGAGCAACTGGTTCATGACACAATCGACCAAGTTTTCCTGTTGAATTGTAACATGTATATGACAATTAAGCATGTTTATAATAGAGAAAATAAGGCAAACGGTTTCTTGCACTTCAACAGATGATGACTGTCTGGCTGGCAGCCATGGAGGGGCGATTGTAAGTAGGAATGCCTACTGTGTTTTCGTTTGGGAAGTTTTCAATTGATTGATTTTCTCATCCACTTATTGTGAGAATGAATGGAAGATACTCTGTGCATTCTTTGCTTAATGGTTAACCACTAATTATCGTATTAATCAGTGGTTAACCGAACCGATTAGCACCCACCTTTTATGCATAAGTTTTTTTTTCTTTCTTTATCCGGTCAGGTACATTCTTGTAGAAGTCACGTTGAGGACTAGGGACCAAAGAAAAATCCGTCATAGAAGAAGCGTTAGAGAAGTTGAAAGGAAAAGGGATTCGGAGGAGTACAAAGTCAAAGTTAATAACATGATATGCTCTGTGGTTGTCCTCTGTACTCCAGTCTCCATGCATGTGTCGCCTTCAGAAACTTCCAAGTTTTCTACACACTCATTAATGATATTTGCTTGCACCCGTTTATGAAGCTAATTATTACAAGCTAACCGTTTCAATTTATTAGTCTGTTCCCCCTTCGCGGACTACCTTGATTCATTACAATGGACTAAATCTACTCTATTGATATTATCTGAACCAGATTCTTTGTTGCTGACTGAAAGTTACGAGCTCCCGCGGTAATATGTAATCTTATTCTTTGTCAAATTGGATTAGAATCTTTGTTCTCGGTTTGGTCTATAATCTTATTTTTTACAAGATTGGATCGGGATTAGGCTGTCTTTAAAGGTTACATATATACTTCTTAATATCTCTTTTAATATGTCTCCTCAAGTATAGTAAAACTTACTCTCTTATGTCTGTGAACTAGCTAACACCCAGTATTTTAGTGAATTCTTTACTTTCTTACATTGTCACGACTTTTCAAATTTGCTCTAACAAACTCTCTATAAAAAACCAATGACGGTTATTTGATCTGGATACATGGGAAGCATAAAATGAACACTTGGGATAGGAGCAACTCAACCCACAAGCGTTATTTGATAAAAGAACTCCATTCCAGTCGCCTCCCCAAAGTGACTTGTAAACCGTGTTTTCCCTCCTTCAAAATAATGCTTCTCACCAAATGCCCTTCTTGGGGTTGGGGCCAGTCTCAATATGTATATTGGAGAAGAGAGAATTCGAGGAAGGTTGGCGTTTCGGTCAATAGGCAAATCTCTCTTGTCTGGACCAGCAGCTAAAAATAAGTCCACGCTTCCGGAACAACATAGCATTAGCTTCAATGGAAAAAAACCTAAACTTGGAAAATAGTTTGCTTTCGATGGCTACATGCCCATCATCTAGCACATACTTACTGAATTACGAGCCTTCCTAATGGTCACCAATTAACACTTCCGGCTATGTATAGTAGCTCACGTCTGAATTTATGACCACGTACGTACTTTGAGCCAACTACGTGGGATGCAAGCGAATGCTGTTCATTGGGGGAATTGAATTTAATTTAATTAATGTACACAGATCCTAATTGTCACCTCTAGTGTTACCTACTTAATGTCAATTAGGGATGGCAATGGGGCGGGTTTGGAGCGGGTTTGCTTAAACCATCCTCATACCCATCTTCAAATACCCGAACACATATACCCGCCCCATACCCATGCGGGGAATGTTTTGCAAACCCATCCCCATATCCGTGGATTTCGGGTACCCATGGGTAATACCCATACCCGTAATCCAACATTATTATACCTAAAACTTACAAGAAAAGTTCTAATTATAACTCTAAACGAACATATTATATCATGAAGTCAACAAAACACGGGCATTTTTTTAATATGGTTCCAAGATTATGATCCTAAAATATCCATTAATACATAATATAGAGTATAATATTTTTCAAATTATTATGTTCTAACTCTGATACATCTACTAAATAATAATTAACTAACATAATCTTATTGACGAGGGGGAAAGTGAAAGAGTGAAATGAGAATTGAGAGAAATGAATTAGATTTTGATTAAGGTGGTCACTCAATTGCATTTCTACTATTTATTTTCTCAAGTTATCCTCATCATCATTGATAGATTATAATTTGATGCACATATTTTTTTTTATATGAAGAAATTATCTTGGTGGGGCGGGTATGGGGATGGGTATGGGGCGGGGGAGGCTAAAACCATACCCGCCCCATAGCCATCAAACTTTTTGCGGGTTTTACACATACCCGCCCCATACCCGGTCAAAGCGGGGATTCCCCGCGTTGACTGGGTCGGGGACGGTCGATACCTGCGGCCATGGGTTTGATTGCCATCCCTAATGTCAATTGAGTAGCATGCGGAAGAAAAGCGGGTTGGACCGTTGGAGTTTGAACCCAACAGCCCAAGCCTGGAAAAAATGCTCAATGTTAGGGCCTGGATCCAGTAACCTTCACGAACCAGAAAGCCCATACCAGCCCGCAAATCACCCACTAAGGCAAGGCAACGAACTCGCCCTACCATTTGGTACTGTTCCTGATTCTAATTAAATAAGATAAATATGAAAACTGTAAGATTCTGCGCGATTTCCCACTTTTACCCCTTAGGCATCCTCATTAACACAAACCATTCTGTGTCCAGATCCCGTAGATATGGATCAGAAGCAAACCCATTCCCGTAATATACCCTTTTTTATTTTCTTCCCGGCCTCTTGCAAATTGCCATTGCAACCGACAGCCAATTTTCTTTAGTTTTCTTTTCCCGCAGATTTCTTCACAAAAAAGGAAAATTCCAATTCCCCGTCCCCTTTCTTGCTTGCTTATCTCATTCCATTCGCATTTGTTCCTCCACAAAAAGATTCATCTTCTTCGCCATTTGAGCGAACCAGCCAGATCTTCCTTCTGGTTCTGGAGGTCCGATTCAGCCCTCCATCTCCGAGCTCTTCTGAATCTCTCTTTCAGATCCCATGGCTCGGCTCCTCCTCCTCCCTCTCCTCCTAGCCCTCCTCTTCTCCATCTCCTCCGCGGAGATCCGCTCCTCGGAGGTCCGATCCGACGACCGCCCCATCATCCCCTTCGACGAATTCGGATTCACACACTCCGGCCGCCTAGAGCTCAACGTCTCCAAGATCCAGCTCTCCAACAACAACCCCGATCTCGACCTCGCCAAGGTCGGGTTCTTCCTCTGCACCAGGGACACGTGGCTCCACGTCCTCCAGCAGCTGGAGGACGGCGAGATCACCTGCGCGCTCCAATCGGACCTCATCAAGACCGTGTTCACCTTCAAGGACATCCCCGCCGGCAGGAAGGAGCACGGAGTCGTCTACAAGGAGACCGATGCCGACCAATTCACGCTCGTCTTCGCCAATTGCTTGACCTCGCTCAAGGTCTCCATGGACGTCCACTCCGCGATGTACAATCTCGAGAGAGGCGGCGGCACGCGCGATTACCTCTCCGCCGGGAGGACGATCCTGCCTAGGGTTTACTTCCTCTTCTCCCTGGCCTATTTCGTTATGGCCGGGATCTGGATTTCCGTCCTCTACAAGAAGCGCCTCACCGTTTTCAGGATCCATTTCTTCATGCTCGCCGTTGTTATCATGAAGGCTCTGAATCTTCTGTTTGAGGCCGAGGATAAGTCTCATATCAAGAGGACTGGCAGCGCTCATGGATGGGATGTGTTGTTCTATATCTTCAGCTTTTTCAAGGGGATTGCTGTATTCACTTTGATCGTGTTGATTGGAACTGGGTGGTCGTTCTTGAAGCCTTATTTGCAGGACAAGGAGAAGAAGGTGCTGATGATTGTGATTCCACTTCAGGTTGTGGCCAATATCGCGCAGGTGGTGATCGACGAGACGGGGCCCTATGGCCAGGATTGGATCACATGGAAGCAGATTTTCTTGTTGGTTGATGTGGTTTGCTGCTGTGCGGTTCTGTTCCCCATTGTTTGGTCCATCAAGAACTTGCGGGAGGCTGCCAGGACTGATGGCAAGGCTGCAGTGAATTTGATGAAGTTGACCCTGTTCAGGCAATACTACATTGTTGTGATCTGCTACATTTACTTCACCCGTGTGGTGGTTTATGCGCTGGAGACGATCACCTCGTACAAGTATCTCTGGACCAGCGTGGTGGCGAGCGAATTGGCCACGCTTGCATTTTACTTGTTCACCGGGTTGAAGTTTAAGCCCGAGGCACATAACCCTTACTTTGTCATTGACGATGAGGAAGAGGAAGCTGCCGCGGAACAGTTGAAGCTTGAAGATGAATTCGAGCTGTAATTTTGTTGGATGAATGAGGGGAAGGTGTCCCACTGAGATGATTAAGGTTAGAAAGAATTTACAATCAGCTCTATATTTGTCTGTCTCGAATGTTTAAGGGCGTCGTTCATATGTGATTGTTAATGTGGTACTTCTTGATGTAATTTTTGAGTTAAAGGGTTACTAGGATAGCTTTTCTTTGTTATAATACTTTCTGATGTGTGGAAAAAGTAGCCATTTTGGATACTGTTGCATTACTCCAGACTGCATATTCAGTTACTAGTATCTTTGACAATTGTGTAGCCTCTGTTTTGTTATCAAGCCTTAATCGATCTTTCCCTCCTTGAATGCGAGGCAACGATTCTTGTACCTAGGAAACTAACTCTGGCTAATGGAAGGTGTTTAGTTGTAATAGCTTGTTTGCTGCTGGAATGATGTTTTACAGAACTTTACATAGCAAATCAAAGGTGTCTATGTTTCTCATTTTATATGGTAGTAATTTTCTCCATGATGGATTATTCGACTCGCGGCAATTAGTGCATGGCATTGGCAGAAAGGTCTCTCATGTTTGATACATGTAGGTTGTTATTTGCCTTGAAAAAGCTATTAATATGATGTTACGCTTTGTTGCATATCTCAGTATGATTTCAAGGTTATGTGATTGTATGTGAACTTTCCGTTGCCTTGTGTTGGGTATTGGATGGATTTATCCCGGTTAGATGCACAGAACAGTTGCAGTGTCTAAAATTTTGTCAACTGGTTTATCGCCATTGATCTTGCGGGATCTTATCTGTTCTTCCTCTGCTTATTATTCTGGTTTCACTATTCGTAGCCAGTTAACTTCTAGACATGAAAGAATCAAGGAATTTGCATCTTATATGCCTGCCACATTCATTGTGGTTGGGGATCTCTTTCTTTATTGGTAACAAGTAAACAGGTAAACCTATAGTTTAAACTCATTTGTTTCTAGGGCAAGATTGTGGTTTAGCAAGCATTCTTGCTTGTTGTTTCGTCAGAGATGCTTTCGTTGCTCCTGGCAATTTTCATGTGATTGTCTGTCACCAAATGCAGTTTCCAGGTTGCTGTTTGTTTTTCTTGTTGTTGCAAGCCAAGTCGATGAGTGCCTATCATAAAACTCAACCAGGTCAGAAACCGGACTCGTTCAGCCCATTGTCGTAGCCCAACTCCCAGCCCGCTCTCTTTTCTTCCCAGCCCGCTCTTAATTTGGGCATTTTTCCAGTCACGTGATCCCCGATCCGCCTCAAGAAGAGATGGGCCGGCCCAGCTCATCAGCCCATTCCACGTACGGCCTTCCGTTTATCTATGGTCCCATTTGAGTTTGAATTAAATTTTGGGCGCCCGATCCTCTCCTTAGTTTCAAATCTTTTTTTTTTAAAAACCCACTTTTCCTCTCTTTGAAAATTCCTCCTCGTCTTGTAGCTCGGAACTCTTTTCTTTTCCTTCTTCAGTTTTGAAGCTATTACGGGTTAACGCCAAAAATACTTTGCTTTCTTCTGCAGAAGGCAGAAATAAAGCAGAAATAAAGCAAAGCCATCCACCGACTTAGAATCCACTCTTTTGTCATCACCTTAATCTTCCCTTCTCTCCGTCCTCTTGGCCTCCATCTCTGCAACTCACTCTTTCCCTCCCTGCGCTCTTCTCTCTGCGAAAACAGAAAAAAAAAAAAAAAATGGGCTGCGTCTCCTCGAATCTGCTGAGCAACGAAGAAACCTTCACGCAGCTGGGTGGCTCAGCCTTGGGCGTCGGCCATCACATCGTCTCCCTCACCTCCACCACCTACGGCCTCCTCAACCTCGACCCACCTTCCTCCACCACCGCCACCTCTCGTCCCGCTCCGCCGCCTCGCTTGACTTTGGGCTCCGTCTTCCCCGCTTCTTTAACCGATTCGCCCGCTCCAAACCCCACCGGCGACCGATTCGGCACCGATCCGCCCCAAGAAGTCATCAATTCCTGGGAACTAATGTCCGGCCTCGACCCCGTCGAAAGCTTCCGCTTCTCTCCCCTTCCTCCTCCACCTCGAAAGGACCCAATTGGGGAAACTATTACCGCTTTCTCTAAGCCGCCGGCGCCTCCACCACATCAGAAGGAATCTCCGAGTTCGGGTTTGCTGGAGGGATTCGAGGAGCTCTGCCCACCCAACGGGGAGAACAGGGTGGTGATCTACACCACCAGCCTGAGAGGGATCCGCAAGACGTTCGAGGCCTGCAGCGTCGTCCGGGCAGCAATCGAATCGTTCGGTGTCCAAATCTGCGAGAGGGACGTCTCCATGGATCGCGGATTCAAGGAGGAGCTGAAGGAACTGATGATGATCAGATCTGGTGACGGATGCAGGAAAGGGAAAGGGGAAGGTGAAGATTCCACCGCGGCCACCGCGACTGTGCTGCCGAGGGTGTTTGTGAGAGGAAGGTACTTGGGTGGGGTGGAGGAGGTGATGAAGATTGTGGAGGAAGGGCGGATGGCGGATTTGCTGCAGGGTGTTACCAGGAGTAAAGCCATTGGCGGCAGCTGCGAAGGTTGTGGGAATGTGAGGTTCTTGCCCTGTTTTTCCTGCAATGGGAGCTGTAAAGTGGCGATGGTGGTGAAGGAGAAGGAGAAGGAGGCTGATGGTGGTGGTGGGGGATTTGGTGCTGCGAGGTCGGTTGTGGTGAGGTGCCCTGACTGTAATGAGAATGGATTGGTGCTATGTCCCATTTGCAGCTGATTGCCTTGTTGTTGTTGTTGTTGTAGTAATATGTAGTACTAGATATATATGATAATGGTGATATGAAAAGTAAGTTATCTCAACTTGCTTACTACTCTGCTGTATGTGATATGAATCTGAGGTGAACAAAGATGAGTCCATGAATCGATATTTTTAGAGCAAACCCACCATTTTGATTGAGGTGTTGCTGCTTAGATTGTTGACAGCAGAGAAGAAGATTGGCGCCAAGTGAAAGTAGTTCAAATAAAAGGGTCAGTGTTAGGTTGAGTGTTGTCGTTTTGGTTAATTACTAGATGGTCACTGAAGTCTGTCTTATGTTTGTGTCGAGTCAAGTAGTGGATCAGAAACTTGGGGATTAAGGTTGTTAAGTTGTTAGCTGGGTTTAAGGGTCATGGGGCAAGATCATGAGTTGTGGATTAGCGAGATTCCTGGCTGTGATCTGTGTATATATTGTTACCCTTTTCTTTGTTAATAAAATTGTCAGTTTGCCCCAAAGTTTGCTATCATTGTGGTATCAGAGCAACGGCTTACTGTAACCAAGCTTTCAAGAGTGAGTTAATTACAGCAACTGAGTGTTTATATCTGGGTTTGGGAAACACGAGAGGTATCTTGTGAGGTGATTATCAGGGGTGAGTGAAACAGATAAGAAACTGTGTGAGCAGTGAGATTTGAGTGAAACAGCAAGATGAGTGAGAATTCTGGGTTTGCTCAGGTATGCATACCTCGATTTGATGGAGACTATGACCACTGGAGTCTAGTCATGGAGAACTTGCTGAGGTCCAAAGAATTCTGGGAGGTGGTTTCTACAGGAGTACCAGAGCACTCTGCAGATACAAGACTGACAGCTGAGCAAAGCAAGGAGCTTCATGATTTACAGCTTAAGGATCTCAAGGCAAAGAACTATCTCTTTAGTTCTATTGACAAGACAATTCTTAAGACTATAACTCAGAAGGCTACTGCTAAGGAGCTTTGGGATTCCATGAAAATGAAATTCCAAGGCAGTGAAAGGGTGAAGAGGGCTCAACTGCAGACCCTGAGGAGAAGCTTTGAAGTTCTTGAAATGAAGACTGGAGAAGGAGTGAATGATTATATTGGTAGGGTCATGGTGGTGGCCAATGGCATGAGGAACTGTGGAGAAGAAGTAACAGATGTCAAGATTGTAGAGAAAATTCTGAGAACATTAACTGAAAGGTTCAACTACATCGTCTGTTCAATTGAAGAATCAAAAGACATAGACACCCTTTCAGTAGATGCTCTTCAGAGTTCTCTGCTAGTTCATGAGCAGAAGTTCATGAAGAAGGAAGAATCAGAAGATCAAGCTCTGAAGGTCAGTCATGAGTTTGGAGGAAGAGGTGGAAGAGGCTTTTCAGGTAGGGGAGGCTTTCGAGGAAGAGGAAGAGGCAGAGGAGGCAGATCTTGAAACAAAGATACAGTGGAGTGCTTCTACTGTCATAGGCTGGGACATTTCAAGTATGAATGTCCTGAGCTCTATGGGCAGCAGGCACACTTCACCAATACTGCAGGTCAGGGAACTCAGCATCCTGACATGAAAGAAGAGATGCTTCTAATGGCCTACACAGAAGAAGGAGCACAACAGGAGACAGTTGAGAAGGAACTGGAGACACAAGTAGGGCTGATGGAGGCATCTGATCATGAAGGCTGGTGGTTCCTAGACTCAGGCTGCAGCAATCACATGACAGGAGATAAAAGGTGGTTTACAAACCTTGATACTTCTTTTTCTTGCACAGTAAAACTTGGCAATGATACTAGGCTTGCTGTAAAAGGGAAGGGGAGTGTCAGGTTGAATATGGAGAGCCTGTCTCTCCTGGTGCAGGATGTGTTTTATGTGCCAGGGTTGAAGTCTAACCTGATCAGTATAGGACAGCTGCAAGAGAAGAAGCTGGCTTTTCTAATGCAAGACAGTGTTTGCAAGATTTTTCATGCAGAAAAGGGACTGGTATTGCAGACAAACATGAAGACCAACAGGCTGTTTGTTCTGCACTGCTATATGGATCAGGGTGAAGGAAATCAATGCCTCAAAGTAACTGCTGCTGCTGAGGAAGCTCTAAACCTCTGGCACAGAAGGTTTGGTCATCTGAATCATCAAGGTTTACTGGGGTTGCACAGAGAAGGAGCTGTGAAAGGTTTGCCTATGCTGGCTGGCAAACCAGGTGTTTGCTCTACTTGTCTGATAGGCAAACAACATAGAGCATCATTTCCAAAGAAAAGCAACTGGCATGCTACACAAAAACTGCAGCTCATTCATGCTGATCTCTGTGGCCCCATCACTCCTGTTTCAAGCAGTGGGAAGAGGTATATCTTTACTCTAATTGATGATTTCAGCAGGAAATTATGGGTTCATTTCATAGCAGCAAAGTCAGAAAGCTTTGAGATATTCAAAATCTTCAAAGCTCATGTTGAAAAGGAAGGAGACACAACCATCAAGTGTCTTAGAACAGACAGAGGTGGGGAGTTCATGTGAAATGAATTCAAAGCATTCTGTGATGAAAAGGGGATCAGGAGACAACTCACTGCAGCACTGACTCCTCAGCAAAATGGAGTGGCAGAGAGGAAGAATAGGACCATTCTCAATATGGTTCGATGTATGCTGGAAGACACCAAGGTCCCTGCAAGATTCTGGCCTGCGGCAGTCAACTGGACTACTCATATTCTTAACAGAAGTCCTGCAGCTGCTAACAAGGGAAAAACTCCACAAGAATTATGGTATGGAACTCCACCCTCAGTAGAACATTTTAAGATCTTTGGATGTGCTGCATATGTCCATACCCCTGATCAATATAGAAAGAAACTTGATGATAAGAGCACTAGGTGCATTTTCTTTGGAGTTTCTACTGAGTCCAAGGCATACAGGTTATATAATCCTGTCACTAGAAAGATTATTGTTAGTAGAGATGTGGTGTTTGATGAACAGCAAGAAGGCTGGATTTGGAATGCTGAGATCACTCCAGTACTCACTCGAATTCAGTGGGAAGGAAGTGAGGAGGAACTGGAAGAATCAGATCATGAAGAAGAACCAGAAGTTGTTGGCTCAGAAGATTCAGAACCACCAAGTCCCACTGCAACTAGTCCAGGTGCAACTGAGGCCTCAGGTTCATCATCAGCCAGTCCACAATCCAGCTCATCCTCTACTAATGAAGAAGAAGGGCCTGCTGATGCTTTGGGGCTACCTCCTAGAGTCTCAAAGCTTCCAGCTTATCTTAATGACTATGAGATGGGGTGTGTGCAACTCGACTGGGAAGCCTTAATGGCCCTGACTGATGATCCAAAGAGTTTTGAAGAAGCTGTGAAGGATGAAAGATGGAGGGAGGCAATGAAGCAGGAAATACAGTCCATAGTGAAGAATGGAACATGGGTGCTGGTAACTCTACCTCCAGGCATCACTCCAATAGGAGTCAAATGGGTGTTCAGGACAAAGCTAAATGAACATGGTGAAGTAGACAAATTCAAAGCCAGGCTGGTGGCTAAGGGGTATGCACAACAGTATGGCATAGACTACACAGAAGTCTTTGCCCCAGTTGCAAGATGGGATACTATAAGGACCTTCTTGGCTCTATCTGCTGCTCATGACTTAACAGTCTATCAGTTAGATGTCAAGAGTGCATTCCTACATGGTGATCTAGCAGAGGATGTGTATATAACTCAACCTGAGGGATTTCTGGTTCCAGGGGAGGAAGAAAAGGTGTACAAGTTAAATAAGGCCCTCTATGGACTCAAGCAGGCTCCCAGGGCATGGTACAGTCGCATAGAGGCCTACTTTGAGAAGTTTGGTTTCCAGAGATGCACTTATGAGCACACAGTGTTCATCAAAAGGGAAGGATCAGGTCTGTTGCTGGTGAGCTTATATGTTGATGATGTTATGTATGCTAGCAATTCTGATTCTATGATTGCTGACTTCAAAGCCTCGATGCAACATGAATTTGAAATGTCTGACTTGGGAAAAATGAGATACTTTCTTGGTGTTGAGATTCAACAACTAGCAGAAGGAATTTTTGTGTCTCAACAGAAATATGCCAAGGAAGTTCTGCAAAGGTTCAAGCTGCTGGAATGTAATTCAGTAAAAAATCCTATGACACCTGGAACCAAGCTGACTAAAGAAGGGGATGGTGTTCCAGTCAATGCAACTCACTACAAGCAGCTTATTGGGAGTCTTCTGTACATGACAGCTACAAGGCCTGACATAATGTTTAGTGTGTGTCTCTTGAGCAGATATATGGAGTCTCCAACAAGACAGCATATGCTCGCAGCTAAGAGGATCCTAAGATATCTTAAAGGGACTCTAAGCTATGGAATCTGGTACGAGAAAGGAGGTGAAGGAAACTGTCTAGTGGGATACACTGACAGTGATTATGCAGGCGATTTAAATGACAGGAAAAACACAAGTGGATATGTTTTCTTCCTAGCAGGAGGAGCAGTGTCTTGGGCTTCAAAAAAACAGCCTGTGGTCACTCTGTCTACAACAGAGGCTGAGTTTGTGGCTGCTGCTGGGTGTGCTGCACAATGTGTTTGGTTAAGAAGAATTTTGGATCAAATGGGCTGGAAAAAGAGTGTCAACCAACCAACCAGGATCTTCTGCGACAACAATTCTGCAATCAAACTCTCAAAGAATCCAGTGTTACATGGCAGGAGCAAACACATTGACGTTAGATTCCATTTTCTGAGGGACCTAGTGAAGGATGAAGCTGTGGAATTGGTGTATTGTGGGACTGGTGAACAGGTAGCTGATATCATGACCAAGGCTGTGAAAGGAGAAACCTTTGAATATCTTCGTGCTCAGCTAGGAGTGAAGAAGCTATCTGACATTGAGGATCTGAAAGTGAACTGAAACTGAAGCTTTCAGTCTTCAGTTCAAGGGGAGGAAATGTTGACAGCAGAGAAGAAGATTGGCGCCAAGTGAAAGTAGTTCAAATAAAAGGGTCAGTGTTAGGTTGAGTGGTGTCGTTTTGGTTAATTACTAGATGGTCACTGAAGTCTGTCTTATGTTTGTGTCGAGTCAAGTAGTGGATAGTGGGGTAGTGGATCAGAAACTTGGGGATTAAGGTTGTTAAGTTGTTAGCTGGGTTTAAGGGTCATGGGGCAAGATCATGAGCTGTGGATTAGCGAGATTCCTGGCTGTGATCTGTGTATATATTGTTACCCTTTTCTTTGTTAATAAAATTGTCAGTTTGCCCCAAAGTTTGCTATCATAGATGCCATCTGTAGGTGGTTGCTAAAGCGGGTAGGTAGGGATGACAATTTCGATCTAACCCGTTTTACCCGACTTCTTTGACCTGTTTTGGGGCGGGTCCGACCCGTCCCGTAGGCAGGGCGGGGTGGGCATGGGTACTCTCATAGACCCGACCTGTCCTGACCCGCCCCATTCTCGAACCGTTCTTGCCTAAATTACACGTAATTTTAGTCAAATTACTTAGATTTTCCTTTTACTAAATCAAATTTTAGCTATAATAAAGTTGTAAATTAGTGAAAACCTCAATTTCTCCCTATATTTATCATAATATTGTTTGTTTCCATGGTCTTATAATAAAAACAACGAACATTTCTAATATTTTTTATATAAATTGCTTACCCATTGGGTCGACCTGCCCCGACCCATAACCCGTGATAAATTACCCGATCTGAACCCGCTTTGCCACGGGATGGATCTGGGTACCAAGAAACCCGCCCCAGACCTGCCCATTGCCATTGGGGGGGTAAGTGTCAGTGACACAGCTAACAAGACATTGTTATTAGAAGTGTGATTATGTCAGTGCAAAATGTTGTCTCCTTGCAATCCCTTTTCAATTGTGGATTGCTTGATTGGCGGTCTTTTATCTTTGAATTATTGCATCAGCAGCGCTGCTGTCAACAGTAAAAGTTGGCTGCCTCACAGTTTCCCTTTCGTAAATTGGTTCTCTAGTCGAGTATCTCCATCCCGCAATTCATCCTCTTGATGTGTTTCGCTTTGGTTTTCGAGTTCTTGAAGGAAACTTAATAGTGAAAAATCAAAGAAAGACGCTAATAAAACTACAACTTGGCGCCGTAGTTTGGGTTGATATGGGCCCGAACGTCGGTAAATCCCACACAAAGGCCCATATACCTTGGCCCACTCGTACATATCCCGGGCCAGCGTCTAAATCCTAATACCTACCGGCCGGACAAGGTTGTCAAACCGGTTTAAATCATTGAGTCGGTTAAGTAAGGAGTTCGAGAATTAATGGTCTGATCGGGGTCCGACCGGTTTGAGTCGGTGTAGACGTTTTCTAAATATATATACAAATAAGATAATAATTAAAGATTTAATGCCTAAAATGAAATTTATATTTTATGTAATCTATTAAAAACGGATTTTACACGGCTTACATCTACCTAACCTCTAGTATCCACCCACCGTCTCCCTTCCTTCGTTACTCTTCCTCTCTTCCCCGCTCTTCTTCTCCCTCTTTAGGGGTCGGACCGGGGGAGCTTTCTTAAGGTCATTTTGAAGCCCGACTTAGTTCGGACCGGGTCCTATCAGGGGTACGATAGGGGGTTGACAACCTTGCTGCCGGATATTTCCTCTGTTTCATTGTCCGATTCAAATTCTCCACCCACCCTTTTTTTTTTGCTGAAAGGTTGACGCATTGCGTCTAGTGCATTAGATTAAAAGAACATTTTTCGACAATGTCCATGACATCATAATACAATCAGAATCTAAGCCCTGGGTTGCACACATCGCAAGAATGTGTACCAAAAGGGGAGTTGTGCTCAACGTACCAAGGTAGTGAGCAACACAATTCGACTCTTTATACACACAAGAGATTTTGATCTCTCAATCCCGGTTCAAAAGACTCCTAGACATAACAGCAACTTGACCGTGTCTGTGATCATCATCCGTGTGGTTGTTGATGATTGAAATATCTTTCTCCGAGTCCAGATTGAGCTCGATTTTCCTGGATCCCTCCTCCCACACAATCTTTAGGCCTTCCATTGCACCCTTAAATTTAACCATTATCACAAATTTTGGTTGTATTTTTCTTCTTCTTCTAAAGGCTCATTGAAACTACGATCAAATTTGCATATCGCAGTATGTCTAGCGATCGATGAATGATGTAGCCCAGTTCCTAGTCAAGTTTTGTATGTGGTAAGGAATCACTCTTTGCACCTGGACTTTTTATCCACCAAACATCATATGCTGCGATTCCTTTCGTGATCATTGATCACACGCTTGTGTTTAATTTTCCGCATATTCATTAGATGACCTAGTTAATCACTCTTACATTTTTCCTGGGTTTTGGGATATTTTGGAAACAGAAGCGGCCATATATGTGACACTAAAAAGTAAAAACGATCTGCAAAAGTCACCTCAGCAAGGAAAAACGTAGCTCTCAATATACAACTACTCATTAAACAAGATCTGCCATTATCTGACAGCTCAGTTTCAACTGTAATGGGAAAATTAAAAACATAAGTTTAGGGTCAAAGGAGAAATGATAGTGTATAAGTGTAAGTCATTTTTTACTCGATATAAGGTTTTTTATGATCTATTTTTCGTTATAAAGTTAATCAATTGATGAGAGAAAACAAACGGACCGTTGAGGACAAGAAAAATATATAATAAAAAATTTTGGTCGAAGGAAGAAATAAGTAATTAACATGTAACCCATTTTTTACTCTTACTATGCTTTCAAGTAAAATTTGAAGTTGTATCGTAATATTAAAGATACAAATTCAATTTGTATCATAAGGGAATTCGACATTTATCTTATGTTACAACTCCAACTTGTACCATAACATAAAATACAACTTTAGTTTGTACTATCTAAGAGATTTTACAAAAGTGTATATGTACAACTTCAAGTTGTACCATAAACGGAAAAACTAAAGTATCAATCTTTAAAGCAATGTAAAATTCCTCGAGTTGAGATATATTTCTAGAGGGTAGAGATGTGTTTTCTAGTGAGATATCTCTATATTAAACATGAATTAAATTGAGTTTGGGATATGATAATATACCGTAATCGTTAGTGAATAAAATTCAGACTCTCAATTCTTAAAATCCAAACCGGCCCGCAAATCAATTTTATAAAAAATAACGATAAACCATTATAATTTTTCGAAGTACCACGAAATTCATTCAACGACTTGACCAGATCACTTAGACTATGATACAATATATATGAAAGGTGACTGTAGTTGAGACGAGGTTCCTTCTATACGTAATTTGGGGTTTGATTGCGATAGTTGCAGTTCAACAGAGATGTTTGTTGGCGATAATATACATACATGTGGAAGGTTAGGTAATGCATGCACCTATTCATTAATAAAGTATATGTCAAAGTGTGCTGGGAGAGCTGCATCTGCAATGCATGAAGAATCAGCCACCAAACTTTGATGTGGCCTGCTAACCAAAATCATCGATCTCTATATACTGATCGAACCTAGGAGAAGAATTTTAACCGAAGAAGTGTACGTAGGAGATGAGAGTATACGTACGTAGTTAGTTTAGGTGGAGTCTTTTTCGTGTTTGTTGTATGCTGGAGAAAGGGAAGCTTCCAATGAAATTGTTTGAGGCTGCTCTATGCATCATCGCCTATATGTGGTCCGGTTTTAGTGATGGCAATCTGAACCCATTCCGCAGGTAATACCCGACTTGACCCACGCGATGGGCGGGTATTACCCGACCCGCAGTAGCATGGTGATTGGTGTGGGGCATGTGTATCTACTTCCGACCAGCCCTGCCCGTTTTAGACAAATTTTATCCAAATTTCTTATAGTATCTATATATATATTTCTCCTATTTTGACTTTTATTCAACTAGTTAGAGTCGAATTTTTAATTTGTTAGACTCAATTATCCATTCTATTATCACTATTTTCAATTATTTCCCCCCTTTGTTTTATCATTAAAAGTAAAATTTGTATGTATTTTTTTCAACTAACATATATACAAGTGTAGGTCGGCCCGCCCGCTCCGTACCTGCGCGGATTTTACCCCCCGACCCGTAATAGCGTGGGGCGGGGCGGGCATGGGAATTGAGGTACATGCCCTGCCCCATTGCCATTACTAGTCCGATTCTTAGAAGTGTTGTTCTGTTTTAAAAATTGATGTTCGATCATACAACTCTAAAAGTTGGATTCTTGAAAAATTGGAAAGTATTTTGATAACGGATTTTCTCAATCTTATGCAAAATTTGAGGTTGATGATGATCTGCGTTTTAACAAGACAAGGGGTTAGGGCTGGACACCCCAGCTAGCTACTGGTCCTCTATAAAATTAGTCTGGTTAAATATTCATATCATCATTTTGTATTTTGATTTCGATTTTGCTAAATTTATATTTAAAAGGAAGTCTAGCTAGGCCACATTTTATTTCCATAACGGAGTTAAAACGTTTCACGACCGACCCTACCAAAATGTAATTTGTGATAAACGAGACAAAACCACTTACTTATCTTTTCCCCTTCCATTCTAGGGCTCTGGATGTGTCCTAATTAGTTCCTTTATGCAAATATAGACACCAAAGGTTGCATCCGTGCATGTGATAAACTCCTCACCGACCGGCAAGATAAGAAAATAGGTAACTAGTCCAATTATCTCCGGCGGCCGACTCCATAGTCCAATTATCTCCGACCGGCAAGATAAGAAAATAGGGTTAATATATTCTTATGGTCCGAATTTTTTACAAATTAAACATTTTGATCAATTTTTTCAATCTATATATTGTGGTCTGAACTATGCATTAAAGATATGAAATTGGTCAAACCTGAGATTTGACTGTTATCTTGACTGTCAAACGCGTTGACTAACGGTCAACACGCCACATCACTGCCAAGTCAGCACAATCCACTTAAATAATTGGTTTTTTCACCTATTACCATTTATCTTTTTCAAAATAAAAAAATGTTGTCCTTTTTTTTGTTCAAAATAAAATAGATAAATGGTAATAGGTGGAAAAAACAAAAAAAATTAAGATATTTGTGCTGACTTGGCAGTGACATGGCGCGTTGACCATTAGTTTTGGCCAATTTCATAATTTTGATGCAAAATTGAGGCCACGATGTTATAAATCGAAAAAATTAATCAAAATATTTAATCTGTGAAAAGTTCGAGTATACAAATATATTAACCCTACTCACACATCTAGATCCACGGTGGGATTTTGTGGAATAGATAAACAAGCAGCAGGTACGTCGACCCTTTTTAAAAAAAATAAGAGAACGAGTACCTCGTTGACAAATAAGAAAACAAGATAGGACGTCCATTTCCCATAAAGCGATAGTTAAAAGAAAATGCCGCACCATATTTCATTTTCCATCACCCGATTCCGTTTCTTTATTATTATCTATGAAAATACATGCATGCAGCTGCTACACCACTGTCATCCAATCCTATACATACACGTGTATACATAATACATCGTATACTCAATCCTATAATAGCACCTAAACAACCAAAAAAAAAAAAAACAGCAATTAAGCACCTCGACGACTTAACTACACAACCCTAATTATTACCTATTTTTGTTTTGTCCTTGTTTTTACCTCTCCTGCCTGCCCTTGTCTCTCGTGGTATTGTAAACTGTAACGAAAAGTTTTGGGTTTAGATTTTTGTTTTTTTTGGTTGTTGTATATATACATATGCATGTTACGTGTAATAGAGTAGTAGCCATGATTACGTATATCAAACCGACAAGTGGCATAATGGGTCTGATGATGACGACGGAGAAGACGCGCCGCCCTTGACGAAATTACTCCAGAGATCCACATGCATGCCACTACCAACACCATGATGATGACCAATACGACGACCACCGTCGTCGTCGCCACCGTCGATGAAGTCGCCGTCGTCGTTGAGCAGGTCAACCTCGTCGTGGAGGTGGCCGTTGAGCTGGGATGCCACGAGACGGTCGAGGGCAGCCCAGTCATTTACCACCTGCTGCGACGACATCATCATCACCCCTCCATGTTTGTTGTCGTGACCCGAACCTGCTGTCGCATCAAAGCCGGTGCCGTGGTTGGTGCAGGAAGCTTCATTATTAATAATGATAATATTATTCCCCGTTGTCACGCCCCCAAATGATTGCTGGTGGTAGTGTTGTTGTTGGTTTTCGTAATCGGCCACCAGCCGCGGCAGATGCATGAACCTGCTGCCGCTGTCGTAGTTCTCGGCCTTGCAGTCGGGCTGCTGCTGCTTGCTCATGTAGGTGAGTATTTGGTCGAGGACTCCGTTGTCGTCGTCGCCGCCGCCGCTGGTGCGGAGGCGGGTGGCGGGTGGTGGCGTCATGATGATGTGTGATGCGTGGTGGTGAAGGATGTTGTTGGCGGAGGAGGAGGAACCGGATCTGGGGCTCTCTAGGCTTTTTTGGTAGTTCTTCTTCCTGAATACGCGGCAGACCACCCAACCTTCTTCCGAGCCTCCTTGATCTCCTCCTCCGATTATGTAGTTACCACCACCGTGATTCAATCCCTGTTCATTCACATACAGAGGAACTCATTGAGTTAGTTAATGATGTCAAATTACTCACACACAGCATGGCGACTGTTTCTACGAATTGGGGGCAACCGAAGGATCGACAGAGCAGGAGAAAAATAAAAGCAAAACAACGAAACAAGACACACGGATTTACATGATTCCCTAAATATGATGTAGGCTAGATTAGCTAATCCTTTGGCAGCACCAGAAAGTCAGTTTCACCATACTTTGAGAAAAGATACAGATGACACAAAGTAGTATGAGAAGTATTTATACAGGAGAGAGCCAACGAGATTCCCCTTGACTCGATCCAGTCGCGTCCTGATCAGTTAGTCCGTATCAAATCGTATTAACACATAGTATCATGCTAAACATCAGTTAAAGACCCCAAAGTAGATGATATATGTCAAAATCGAATATAGCTTCATTAGTATAATATTTTCTGGTTTAAATCAAACTCCCACGAATTTATATTTAGGTATTAAAGTCGGCTCCAGCTTCTAATACCATTTGTTGAAACCAGCTGAGAGCTAGCTCATTCACATTATTCCGATATTGTTCTGTTTTAAGACAAAACCCAGATCTCGTACTAATTGGTTAGTTGGACACTTATATATATATACGAGGGCGCAACTTACCGGTGAAGAGGCGGTGATGAAGGAGGTGGTGGTGTCTGGAGAAGCGGCGTCGTCGAGGCGGTACTCGTGCATGATCCAGTCGGACTTCTGGCCGTGAGGGGCCCGACCCTTGTAGAAAACCAGCGTCTTCCTCAACCCGATCCTCTTGTAGCTGCTGTATATGATCTTGTCCCTCCCCGTAGCCTTCCAGAACCCGGCCGCCGTGGCCCGGTTGGTCCGGGTCCCCGTCGGGTACTTCTTGTCCTTGTGGCTGAAGAAGTACCAGTCGTTCTGCGGCGTCGACCCTATCTTGCACCTCTCTGTAGCAACCCCAAACCCAAACATTCATTTTAACCAATAATAAAAAAAAAAAACTAAGTTTAAAGCGCGATTTTGACTGCATTGAGTAAAATTAAGTTTATACCTTGGATGTCCCAGGGCTCGAGCTTGTTGAGATCGACCTCGCGGATGACGTCGAGGTCGATCCTGTCGGAGGCGACCTTCTTGCGGAGGTAGTAGTGGAGGAGCTCTTCCTCGGTGGGATGGAATCTGAATCCAGGTGGCACCTGCGACTGCCCGTTGACCGATAGATTCACCGGATCCCCTCCTCCTCCTGCTGCTGCGGCTGATTCTCGCATGATGATGGAATCTTAAACCAGGTACCGAACTAATCAATGCTAGCTTGATTGTAGCTATATAGTACTATCTATCTTTCAATCTACATGAGTTGATGTGTCAAGTGAGAAGAAGAAGAAGAAGCTAATAATGGAAGAGAAAAGCTGCGACGAAGAAGAAGAAGAAGGAGAAGCAGAATTGAAGGGGACGCCCTGAAAAAGGGAGAAAGAGAGAGTGAGTGAGTGAGTGACGAGATGGGTGAGAAAAAAGGAATTGAAGGGTAAAGAGGATGATGAATATATATATAGAGTGGGTGTTAGTGTTGCTCTCAATCTCATCAACTTGGACGGGACCCGGAGGCGAAGCAAGTAGCCGGCGGGCCCGTAGAGAATAGAAGAGAGGAAATTGGGAAAAAGCTAACAAAGAAAGAAAGGACTGTGCATGGGAAAAAAAGGGTTCGAATTATATATGGAGAGGGGCTACGGGTATATACTGTACTTTGGCTTGCCTTCTGGGGTCAATCCCTTGTTCTATAAGACTTTCAGTTTGTCGTGTTAGAGTGTGGTATAAGATCCACATAACCTTCTTCTAACAATTCGAGTTATTGGGATCAACTGGTTTATGACATGGTATCAGAGCTGGTTTGGCCAAGTGGTCGTGTGTTCAAATCTCCACGACCCCCAATATTAATAGTTGATTAAAGCACAAGGTATGGTGGGCCTGTGCAAATTTCAAGCCCATGAGTTGGCTTTCGTTTGAGGGGGCGTGTTAGAGTGTGGTATAAGATCCAGCAGAACCTTCTCCCAACAACTCGAGTTATTGGGGCAGCTCATTGAGTAGAGCTGACTTGCGAGTGAGCATGACATACTTTTATCTCGACTAGATCCTAAAATTAAGTTGTTGAAGATCAAACGTCTTTCTTGAATTAACCCATGAATCACACTTGTGAAATAATTCAACTTATTTGTAGTCCTAACATATTTTATGCTTATTGTTTCATCAAACTCCGCAGACTGACCCTAGAATTCTAATATGAAAGGCTAATTTGTACTTACTGAATTTGGCTTGTTATCCAAATGACCATATTTGAACTTATAGGCATATTATTGTCAGGTATATGTTTTGGTTCAATTAGTAACCAATTCATTGATGCTTTCGTAGCTTAATTTCATCTGGTAAGATATATATATTGTAAATTAATTAATAAGTTGATGATCAGAATAAACATCATCTCGACACATATGCTTAATCCTTCTAGTAAAAAGAAAAAAAAAGGCGAACCATCCAACTACCTAAAATAAGAGAAGGAAAAGAGAAACGAAGAAAAAAATGGGACTAGCTAATTGGTAGGCCCACAAGTGTTGGTTACTAAACAAGTGGGCCCCATGTCCAAAAAGGTTTGGGCTTTGAGAGACTGGTGGTGGGGGCCCGGTGAGCCACCAAGCGGAGGGGCACGCCCCCCATCTCAACTGCGACCCATGACCTTAATATCTCTATGATAGTCACCCTTGAAACCCACCATTTCTTTTCTCTTTTTTTTTTTCTTTTTTCTTTTTTCTCTATCAGCTTTTTTACAACCGCATTAAAATTAAAGAATGTAATTAATTACTGATTTCCATAACTAACCTTTTTCTGGATGAATCTGTCTTCTCCTGGGCTCGTTTATGTTGTACAACGACAAGAGAGTGGGCAAAAATGATGGGGTCGGGAGGCACTGAGCTTTCGTTGGCCCATCGCTTCAACAAATTCAGCCAATTAACCTCTTTTCTCCACTCTACTCATTATCATCAGCAACCCATTAATAGTTCATATATGCGCATCATGGATGTAGTATATATAACTTGTTATAACCGTGTATGGAGCTTGGTTTATATGTTTGGACGATTATGGATGGATTAAACTGTTTTTAAAAATTGAAAAACGAAATCAGATGAATCATCTCGATTGAATTAGTCCATTGGTTTATTGTTTTAATCAAAAAAATTGAAAAAAAATAAAATAAATACTACTAAGTAAACTAAGACCATCATGGTTTAATTATTAATTTTATTTCAACTTTCTCTTCTTCGTTTTGTAGCTTCTTTGTCGATTTTATGTGGTTTACTATTGACAGTCACCCTACATACTAACTTTAATCTAGTATTTTTTTTTATTCTTTCTTTTGTAAGACTGTTTGAATGATTTGTTATAACTTTTGGTGGTGAACGACATGAATTTTTTTATGGTTAATGACAAATTCAATCTAAATTAGAGTAATATATATCTCTTACGTGTTATAATCCTATTAACATTTAACAAATGATTCAAGACTGGTTAACCATTATTCCCTGGTTCATAATTTAGTTATAGTCAGACCAATCATTCACCAAAATAATGTTTATACCGGTCGAACTTTTTCGAACAAATTACGGAGGTGCCAGGAACTCAACTGACCATGTAATGTACTTTTTATATATATATATATATATCCAACTAACTAAAAAGGGTCGATAGTAGAGGTGGCAACTGGATCGGATTCGTGGATTGGATTGGTGGATCCATGGATCAAATGGATTGGATCCAATGGATTGGTGGATTCATGGATTGGATCAAATGGATTGATGGATTGATCCATGAATCCAAATGACATCAAAGGCTTGGACCAAAATGTAAAATTTGAAAAGTTTTGGTACTAAAATGTCATAATGAAAAATTTTAGGTACCAAAATGTAATTTTCCAATGATATTTTCGTATAAAAATATAAATTTTAGGTACCAAAATGTAAAATATAAAAAATATAAGTACCAAATTGTAATTTGCCATTTGGATCCATGGATTCATCCATGAATCCACCAATCCAATTGGATTTGGATCAAATGGATTGGATTTAAATGGATTGGATTAAGTGGATAATTTTTTTTTTTTTTTGCGTAAAGGGAGGCAAAAGCCGAGAGCAAGTTACAGCAGGGCCCTACAGGCCAGAAAGATGAGGCACCACAATCCGGCGCTCAAAAGCAATACCCATGGCATCTTCTCTAACAATAGAAGCTAACTCCAGGGGCGGATTAGCAAACTCCTGTATACCGTAGGGATAGACGAGACTGTGCTTCGAGAGCCAGTCCGCGACTCTATTCCCTTCCCGATATACATGAGTGATGCTAACCAGCCAGTCCTGACTGATCTTCCTACGAATCGCCGAAAGAAGGGTAGCATGAGGATGAACAGGGTCACTTCTATTGTTGATGAGCTGAATCGCAAGCTGGGAATCAGACTCCAGGCGGACCGCCCGACAACCCTGCTTCCAAGCCATATCCAAACCATGAAACACGGCCCAAAGCTCGGCCAAAACTGCAGTAGCCGTCCCAATGTTCGCAGTGAAGCCAGCAATCCAATTACCTGTCCAGTCGCGGAGAACCCCTCCAGCTCCAGCGGCTCCCGGGTTGCCGTTAGAGGCCCCGTCCACATTAAGCGCCATCCAGCCAAGCATCGGAGGGGTCCATCCAGCCATCGTCATCGTCCGCTCGGTCACCGTCCCTCTACCATTGGGAAGAGGAGAAGGAGCTTGCCAAGCCTCATGCCAAAGCTTGCTCTTATTCATAATCGAGAACTCAAGGGAGGGAGGGGAGAGAGCAGAACGCTGACCTTTGAAACAGGTCGTGCATCTATTCTTCCAGATAAGCCAGGCTGCAGTGCTGAAGAAAGCAGACCAGGTCATGCCCGATCCCATAACCTCTGTACTCTTCAGGTTCTCGCGCAACCAGCTGTTTTCATCCGAGTTGAAGAAGTTGGACTGTCTACTCACCGGGATGTGACGGAGCCAGAAGTACCGAGCCACGCTGCAGTCCCGTAGAATGTGAATAATGGACTCGACCGGGGCTCCACAGTTGTCACAGGTCCGATTGGTAGTCACTTTCCTGGAGAAAAGAAGTGCCTTTGTCGCCAGTTTTCCCAAAAAAGAAAGCCACATGAAACTTCTGATCCTTTCTGGGACCGGAAGGCGCCAGATAATCTTCCAAATATCCTCATCTGCGTCAGGCGACCGCTGGTTTTGGAGAGAATAAGCCGACTTCACCGAAAATCTCCCATCAGACGAAGCGGACCAGAAAATGGTGTCATCATCAGTGGCCATCTTGTCGACACCAATGCTGAGAATCTTCTGGAATACGTCGCCAGGGAGCAGATCCTCGAAGAGCTCCGTTCTCCAAGTTCCATCATCCTTCACAAACTCCTCGATCGGCTCAGCTACAAGGGATTCCGGGATTTGGTCGATAGCCACCTCCTTGAGCGGAACCTGCAAAACCCACGAATCCAACCAGAATTTAGTGCGTTTTCCGTTCTTGACATTCCAAGCACAACCTTGCCTAAGGAGACGAGAAGCTTTAGCAAAACTTCGCCAGGTAAAGGAACTTCCCTGAATTGGCCGAATGAGATCTAGATTCTCCCGCTGTCGCCCATACTTAGCAGTCATCAGCTGAGTCCAAAGGCTGTCTTTCTCTTTCATCAACCTCCACCCGCTCTTAGCAAGCATCGCCAGGTTTGCTTGCTTGAGAGATCTTAAGCCAGCTCCACCTCGCAACTTGGGTTGTGTCAGCTTTTCCCATGCCACCAGATGCATCTTCGACTTATCATCCTTGTCTCCCCAAATGAAGTCCCTGTTCATCCTGTCAATACTCTTACAAACCGAACTGGGGATTAATTCCGTGTTCATGCAGTAAGTGGGAAGAGAAGATGAAACAGATTTAACCACAGTAAGTCTAGCTGCAAAAGAAAGTCTCTTCGCTTTCCAAGGGGCTAGTTTCTTCTGGATACGAAGTAGAAGGCTCTGGTAGCGACTTTGAGTGATCCTCCCATGGATGGTGTGAAGTCCCAAGTATCTTCCAAGCTCCGCTTTCAGAGGAATATTAGCTCGACTACTAAACAGGTTTGCTCTCTGCCGATCCACGTTAGGCGACACGTACAACAGAGACTTGCTGTAATTCACTCTTTGACCAGAGCTGGAGCAGAAGTCGTCTAAACACTGCCGAATGACCCGGATCTGTCTCATCTCTGCTTCGGCAAATAACAGCAGATCGTCTGCAAAAAAGAGGTGAGTGAGAGGTGGTCCTCCTCTTGTCAGGTGAATGGGTTTCCAGCTTCTGTTATTAACAGCCTCATCAATTTTATGAGATAAACGCTCCATGCACAAAACAAAAAGGTAGGGTGAAAGAGGATCTCCCTGACGAACTCCACGGGTTGGGGTTAAAGCTTGGGACAGTTCCCCGTTCCAGAGAATCCTCATCCGGTTCTGCTCCACACAGTACATGATGCAATTAATCCAGGTGCTGGGCAACCCTACTTCTTTGAGAGTGTCACGAAGAAAGTCCCATCTGAGCATATCATACGCCTTCTCCAAATCGATCTTCAAGATCAGTCCTCCCTTCTTCCCTTTCTTCCTCTCAAGGGTGTGGAGAGCCTCTTGCACTACAATGATGTTGTCTGTCGTCTGCCTTCCTGGGATGAAGCTGCTCTGTCTTGGGGAGACGAGTTTCCTCATTACCGGCTTCAATCTGTTGGTCATCGCCTTGGTGATGGCCTTTAGATTGACGTTGTTGAGAGAGATAGGCCGCAGATGAGAGACCAACTCTGGGTTCTCCATCTTCGGGATCAACACCACCGTGGATTCGGAAACAGCCTCAGGGAGGGTACCTGTAGAGAAGAAATTGATCGCCATATCGGTTAAAGCCTTACCCACCACACGCCACATCTGTTGATAGAACACCGCTTGAAATCCATCCGGACCAGGGGCCTGATACGGCTTCATATCAAAAATGGCTTTGTGGATGTCCATGACTGTGAACGGACGCAGAAGAAGCATCCAATCCGCCTGTTCAAGGCTAGGGAAAGCGTTCCTGGGCAGTCTATCTTCATAGGGTACATCATCCTGCAAGTACAACCGAGCCAAAAACTCGAAAACAAGGTTAGAAAGGGCCTGAGGGTCCTCCACCCAGTCTCCATTAGAATCCCGAAGCGCCAGAATCTTGTTGCGCCTTCTTCGAACGTTGACTTGATGATGGAAGTAGGCTGTGTTTCTCTCCCCGAACTTCACCCATTGCTCTCTAGACCGCTGAAACCACAGGAGCTCTTCCTGCTCGAGCACCTTGTCAAGCTCAGTTTCTAGCTTGGAGTGTAGCTTCGCCAGAGCTGGAGAGAAAGTGTGAGAAAGCCTGGATTCAACCCCTTTCAGTCTACCCAACAACCTCCTCTTCTTCTGCTGAATATTACCAAAAACATTCATGTTCCACTCCTTGAGCTTCTCTGCTAACGAGGTAAGGGCTTGGTGAAGCTGAGCATCTTCCTCCCAGGTACCTGCAACAAAATCCTGAAAGTTATTATGAGTAAGCCAAGCCGCCTCAAATTTAAAAGGACGAGAATCGGTCAAGGAGGGCTCCTGGGTAGCCACTGTGGTCAGAATCGGATTGTGGTCAGAGTGAAGGCGGGGGAGGTGCAGCACCGTAGTGGTGGGGAAGCACTCATTCCATTGTAGATTACACAGACTTCTATCTAGTCTGCTGGCTTTGTGAGTCTGAAACGAGTCTCCCCTAGTCCACGTGTACCTCGAGCCTGAAAAACCCAGATCGATCAGCTCGGCCATATTAATCCTGTCATTGAAATTCCGGCATTTCCTAATCGTGGCTGCTGAGGAGGGGCCAGACTTCTCCGCAAGGGAACGGATGGCATTAAAATCCCCGGTTAGAATCCATGGCTCCTCAATCTTCTTGCTCTGCTCGATAAGGCTGTCCCAAAGAGGCTTTTGGAGATGTTGCCGAGGTGAGGCATAGACGGCGGTCAAAACCCACGAACGACCCCTTCCTTGCTGCACGCGGACGGAAATATGTTGATTGCAGGCCGATAAGAGTTCAGTAGAGAAACGCCCGCCATCCCAGCAAATCCAAATACCACCTTTCCGGCCTTCAGCATCCACTCTGATGGAATTCGGAAAACCGAGTTTATCACAGACCGAATCAGCTGAATTCCCGCTGATCTGCGGTTCCAAAAGGATTACGAAATCCGGCCGATGCTGACGAATGCTGAATTTCAGCGCTCGAACAAACGCATTACTACCTGCACCACCAACATTCCACGAAAAGATTTTAACTAAAGGTTAAAAGACATAATAAAAAGTAAAGCAGAAGAAAGGAGGAAGAGGGAGCCCCGATCACAAAGGGAGCAACTGCCGCAAAACAGAGGAAGGCGACCGCTCCAATTAGACCGCTGGAGATTGCGGGTCACCGTGCGAAACCCTCTGTCCCGAAGCCGAGGCTGGAACATCACTCCCTCCTTCAGTTGGCGTGCGTTTCGTGGACGAGTGAGCTGCTTCTGTCCACGCATTAATCTCCTGGAGCGTGAGAGCCGCCATCCTCGTCTTCGATTTTGTTCTCTTGTCCTTCATCGGGGACCATATTTGGAGAGGGCGGATGGGATTCAGCTTCGCCGGCGATCCTTTTTTGGCCCGATCCTTGGAGTTCTTCTTCCCCTTCGTTCTGCTTGCCGCCGATGGGGAGGAGAAGTCTTTTCGGTGTACAGACCCTTCGCTTTGGGGGGGAACCTGGACCACCTGCATTTTGGTTCCGTTCGGGCCCTAATTGCCACCTCTAGTCGATAGTAATAGTAACACACAGACACAGGCAGGTGTAACCAAACTCTACACGAGGGGCAGACAGCTCTGAACCAAACTGAAGCGAAGGTTAGTAACTGAATATATATATGTTTCATACTAGCGGGTACAATAATTTGCCATACGACCGATGGAGTTTTGCTATTTAGATCATAAATTAATCGGAGTTTAGGATATTATACTATACCCTAACTTATAATGGGTGAACCCCAGTCCATGATTTTTTTAACTCAAACCATGAGATTCGATTAATCTTAAAATGAAAATTCATTGATAATTTCGACGAATCGGAATCGTTGATTTTCATTGCAACATTAAACGAATCTCATGCTTTGGGTTAGTGAATTAGGGACAGAAATTCATGCATTAGGGGGCGTGATAGTACGCTAACCTTTGCTATATATATAGCCATCCATCCATTCCACACTTTCCTTTTCCTGAATCTACGAATCTGGGGCTTTCCGCGAGATTGTACAACCCAACTGCTGAATCTTTCGAACGAGAAGATCGATGGATACGTCCAAACCAACTTCATATAGCAGCTATAGCGATCGATCTGCGCCTCTTAGTTCTCATAAAATCCTCTCGCAAGTCGCATCTCTTTGTCATTTGTTCTCATTCCCATAATCCGGCAAGCTTCGACTATATGGTCATCATGTAGGGTTGGTGTTAGGATGGCCTTATGCAATTGGAATATCGGGTGTTCATAAATTCTCGATTGTTTTAGCCGTGTCAATTATGTATTAACAAAATATCACATCGTTCTTCCAGGAACGGTTTTTGGTCATTGGGGAGCACATCCTGACGTCATCCTTAATTTGCAGAACAAATAAATAAATAGACCACAACACAACATAGACAAATCTATTTATTTAAGTTCATTATCCAAACTGATTTGAAAGAAGTAAGACCCTTCTTCTATTCGCTTGTATTCGATTCAACATGACCCTCATTTCACTATTGCGACTTAGACAAATACAGAATCGTTGTTGTTTAACGATGGATGAGTCATTGCGCAATCACATGAAACCTTAATCACTATACTAATCCTATATATATAGTCATTATATTACCCAAATAACAGAATTTTTTTCCTGCAATATATATTATTCATCGGATTAATGGTGGCGGGTCTTGACTAGAAATACACAGTACTTGAATCTGGGGAAAGAAAGAAAGAAATCACTCATGGATGGATGCATATATAATGATGAAGGAAAGGAGTGGGATGGGAAAATTAAGAAAAAAGTGGGTATGGTAATTACCTTGACACCCATTTAATAACGACCTTTCTTTAGGACTTTCAGCTTGGTTTATATAGTAAGTAAGTCACACTAGCTAGTACTATTAGGTAGCTCATAAAAAGACAACACACTATGGGTTCTGTTGGAGCACCTAATTAGCGGTTCAAGTGGAAGTAACATCCTCAATTGTCACAATTCCTCTCAATACTTCAACTGACTGTTAGATATTGTTAAAGTGTATATTAATTTTTGGCATCATATTAAGAGTGTTTATTGAGAGATAGGGCTGATAATCGGTTCGGTTTGGTTATAACCGGAATCGTTTAGTCGGTTCTCGGTTAACCGTTAAGCATTTCGTGCTTACCGTTAACCAGACTGTTTATATGAGTCGGATAATAGTAACCGCATAGTCGGTTCTTGGTTATTTTGTTGGTTAACCGGATAACGTTAACCAAGTGGTTTGGCAAGGTTATACCAAATAATTTATCGGTAACAAAACCAAGGAAACACAGTCTCTTTTTTTCAATTGTGCATTTTGGTAGATCTTTTTCCTAAATATGTATGTGTTATTTCTTTAAGTTGTTGTCATTGAATAAAAAAATTTAACATAGATATCAATCTATAATCAACTCAATCCAACACAATTACACAAATACACAATTATACCGTCAAATTTGATTAAAGAAACTGACAAGAATAAGAGACCCAACAAAAATTACTCAACTAATAAAGACATAAACCAACCACATTGCACGGAAGCTTAGATGTTAATGATTGTTGTTGAGCTATATAAGCAACCCCAACTTTCTAATATGCTCCTTCTAAAGCCATTTCTTGAAATTATTCACATTTGATCCTCTATTACAACTAGAATAGGCAAAGGATCTTGTAGGCCTTCAAACATCCCATTATTTTTTGCCTATGCTTGCAGCTCATCGAGACCTATTATTTGCGGCCATTACTATGAAGATGACTGTAAGCGGTTATCGGTTAATCGTTTAACTGTCGGTTATTAATTAGCTAAATTTAGCTACCGAGAACCGACTGTTTACTGTTAATCAGTTATCGGTGGAACCGTTAACCACAATTTCCGGTTTGGTTATCGGTTACATCGTTAATAAGATAACTATTTATCAGCCCTATTGAGAGATAACGTGTTCGAATCTCCATGGCTTTCAATACTAACCGTTGATTTAATAATTAATCACATGTGTAATGGTTTTTTGTTCAAACTTCAAGCATACATGTTGATTTTCGTGTGAGAGTATGTAATTGCAAGAGAATGATATGGTAAGACATCTCTCGTCCACTCGAGTTCAACCAACTAGCTAGCTCTAGACAACAGGACAAGTCACTCATAGAGTGAATAAGGGGTCGTTTGTTTCATGGATTTGTATGTGGGATTTGGTTCTTAAATCCAACACATTAAGGATTTGTCCAAAAGCCATTGTTTGTAGAGCCAAAATGGAGGGTACCAAATCCGTGGGGTCCCCTGATTTGGGGCTCCAAATCCGTGGGCCCTATGGATTTGTAAATCCCACCTATTTACTTGGGATTTGAAGAAGGGAACAAATCCTTCATGAAAAATGACTTATATATCCCTTTATAATTTATTTATTCCAATTTTACCCGTCATTAGTTATTCTTTGCACTACTACAATTGCCTTTTATAGCTACAAACTTAGTCATGAAAAGTAATATTGTAACTAATAACATGCTAATGACTACATAATCTATGCCATAAGCTATTAACATGCTAATGACTACATAATTTATTTCTCATGGCTATTTGTGAAGGTCTTTGTCACACTTTTATTTTGCCATAAACGTATGATTATTTTGATTCAAATTTTGATTTGGATGGCAAATAATACCCTTTAGCTACAAACTACATTTGTTGTTAAAATAGTAATTCTAACAAACTAATTTTAGCCAAGAATTGTAAGATTACAACTATATATTGTGATTATCTACACATTTTAATATCTCGTGGCTACTAATTTTACGAGCTTGCTATAAAATGTAAATGTAAAAGACAAATTAACAATATGACCACAAGAATAAAATTAGAAACACAAGTAAAGTTATATAAATCTAACATGAAAAAAGGTAGTAAGGTAATATACATCTTAAAGATATAAATCTATAACCCATAAATCCATGATCAAATCAACTAAGCAAACATTGAACTCTTCAAAATCCGTAATGCAACAAATCCCTAACAAATCCTTGGATTTTTAAATTAGAAAACCTTCATTTTCGAATCCGTGAAGCAAACGATCCCTACTAAATTGTTTGCTCTTAATTTTTTTTTGTCACTAGATGGACAATTATTTGATACTTGCATGACATATATATAACACAGTGAATTCGGCTGAAATGCGTCACAACATGAGGGGCTCCATGAGTAATTAGTAAAGTTGACTTGTACTCTCTTAAACAAAAAAACATCATGAAACGAGTCATCGCTAAAATGCGAAAGCACTGAAACGAACTCCTGCAAAACTAACAAATGAAAATCACCTCAATTATGATCCTCTATAAAAATATTGTATATATTCGCAATAAAAACATTCGACCAAGTGCATCAACGACATCTCAATAAATCCAATGAACCCAATAGCACAACCTTGGTTCAGCCACAGTAATTGCATCAATTCATCAAAACACCTTATTAGAATAATAAAAATAACAAGACAAAGAATAGGTTAGCAAAGCCCATTTCCCAACTTTTCGTTCATTCGCTTGTGTTGCCGCCGTACGTTGCCGTGGTCTCCCTATGCATCAATTGGATCTAACGGTATAGCACTTAACATTTTTATCATCAAATTCAAAACCCTAAATGGGAAGAAAAGAAAGGTTAGTGATGATGATACCTTCCAATTCCATTCCCTACCGGCAACCACATTCATATATTCCCATTAATTAATCTCTTTCTGTTATGACGTCTTTGTGCGTGTCAATTCTTAATCATGGCGATGGAAGTGAGATTATGTAAATTTCCCTTAGCTAAATTCCATGCCTCATCATCATGATCATCAATTTACTACTACTACTATTCCCCTCCTTCGTTCCAACAATTGACGGGGCAACCACCGCCTCTTACTTTCGCCCTTCACCCCTCACCACTCAAACCCTAGCTAGCTTCTTCAATATTACAATTAAAGGGCTCTCCTAATAACTTTGTTTGGTACTACTTGGTTGAATTTCATCATACTAATAATTCGTAGAAGTTGGGTTTCTTTTCGAATGCCCTCAAGCAAAGGTGTAGTGGCCTTTAAACGTTATGTCGGGTACCAATTTCCAAAATCTCATTAATAACCCATATGTCAAATTTCAGCGTGGGAGCGGTGGCACTATCAGTATGTAACCTCGCAAACTAGATAATTGCCTCTGGTAAGTAAGCAAATATGTCATAAAATTATCGTCGGGACAAACATGTTAGAAATGATGCACATTTTAACATCTGTTATTCAGTAGTCGGAGAATGGTTGTTGTTGTGTTGTTGTGCTTGCGCGAGTTAAGGCGTGGGGCGGAACTACCGGCCGAAATCAAATGGAGCGATAAGGCGAAGAATCTATCTTTGAACCTTCATGAAGTTCATATCCCAATTAAACAAGGTGGAGATCTTGCAAAGTTTTCATCAATTCAACATGAGTGGTTGTGCCCTTTCCAATGGAAATGCCTTATTGTCCCACAAGCTACAGCTAGTCACCCCTTCAATAAATAATGACCCTAATTTCCCCCTTATTAAAAAAAATTAATGATAATGACCCTTTCCTAAACCCTTCGAATCATTTTACTAAATAATAAAGTCCTCAAATCATTTGAAGTGTATACTTTTCATAAGTAATTCAACTATATGCTTTCAAACAGACGATGGTTCCGAATTGATACTCATATACATATGAAAATGTATGAAAAATAATTAGTATTTCAAGGGGGAAAAGGATATATAGTCTCCAAACCTATATATATGTACAATTCTCAGAGTTATGTTGACTGATTAGTCGTTTTGCTAATGAGTGCTTTACGACGGCAAATTGGTGAGGTGGGAAGTCAGACCCTCATCTACCCATGAATGAATCCATATGTATCTGTTTGTATATATCAATTTGATTCATAAGTTAGGTGATGTGTTTGGGAAATTGTAGTTCACGTAAGTCCGTAACAGATGTATCGAATTGGAAAATTTTCTATCGTATTTTAAATATGTACTTTGTATTTACTGGCTTGAAATAGTTGAATCACAGTACCATAAGTTTAACACAAAATAATTTATTGCTGACTTTTCTAGTACAATTTATGATGGCGGAGTCGGAATGAAATAATTTAGTATTTCAAGGTACGAAAGGGATTAGTCTCCAAACCTATGAACAACTTTTAAAAAAAAAAAAAAAATCTACTCATGAATTAATCCATACATACATATGTGTGTGTACTTATTAATTTGAATTGTTAGTAATCCATGTTTGTTAAATTGTATAGTACCAGCGGTTCGATTGGAAGAACTTTCAATCGATGTTTAAATATGGAGGTTGTTTGTAGTCGTATGAAATGGTACCATAATTGAACCACAAATTCATTACAAAATTCGTTCCCGTTATTTTTTATATATATAGTCTTTGATATGGTTTTATAGTCGTTGATTGTAAGTAAACGAAGAATATGATTCGGTAGTCAGACAAACAAAAAAAAAAGGAGTGGAGGGGACGGGGCATTCAGTTTGTAGCTTGTGAGTTGTGACGTAATTCTTGCATGTACGTACGTTGTCGCTCGATCTGCAAAGATTCAAAAAGGCGCTAGGCGTAAGGCGGGGGTTGAGCCTTTGTCTTGCACTTAGATCGCCTAGGCGTCGACTAAGCGTGTCTAGGCGTTGGAAGAAAAATATATATTCGCACTGCATGATGAATGAAATAATAATCTACAACACTTTCTCACTTCAGTTAAAAGGATTAATTACTTACTCAACACTTAATGACAAGAACATAGCTCACGGATTCATAGAATCATAGCTCAATAGCTCACAAAGTTCTTGAGCTATTGAAAATATTGCAATAGAAAATTAATTTCGTAGTTGATGTTAATTTTGGTCATTAATATTGACTTCCTAGCTCCATCTAGTAATGTTTATGAGAGACTTATATGTCGCCTTACTCCATTGACGTGTTCGAGTATCTAATTAGACGTAAAACCCTTAGGTGAGACGTTTTGCCATTGCCTTGCATCTAGGCGTGTCTAAGCGTAAAATTAAAATTAAGTGTGACTTTTTGAACCATGTGTGCAACGATGCAGATTTCAACAGACTGGCCAAAGCCCCAAATCGGAAGTAGGCCCAGCCTATCATCAGGCCCAATATCAGGCAAGAAGCGTGCACGCCATACAATACCTTACCAGAGTGGGCATTTGAAACGCCGGCCCGGATCCCTAATTTTAAGAATTCGATCCACAAGCTAAATTGTTTTACTTTTTCCTCTCACTTTAGCTTGATCACCAATTCACCAGCTTGTCAGTTGCTGAACTTTTAACAGTTATGGCCCAATGTCACGAGTCAGGACCGTTTTTCCTTTGTAAGCTTCAGAGATTAGGTGAAATTCTAGAGTTGGACTTGAGTTATTATGAACATATAATTTTGCGTTGATGTGATTTGAATCGGACTATCAGCCGGTACGACTGGTAATCGGGGTCTCACTGTCTGGTCAACGAGTGGGGTCCAGGGGCAACGCCCCCGGCCCACGGTGTATGGGTTCAATGTTATTTGGGTTCGGGTTCTGGATCTGGTCTGTAATCGTTTCCTTTGCCAGATTGGATTAGGTTTAGACCCACGTGGAGAAGTACTATAAATACTTCTCATACTCCTCTGTAATCTGTAATCTCCTCGATATAGTGAAACCGGCTCTCTCTCGTCCGTGGACGTAGCTAACACACATCGTGTTAGTGAACCACGTAAATCGTGTGTCTGTGTTTTTTTTTATTCTCACTTTTGTATTATTGTTGTATCGATTTCGGAGATTTCTCAATCCGTAGCATCGCGTTTATAACATTTTGAACAAATGAATTAGCTTGCAATGGGAGATAAATCAATAATACGATAAGCGTAATTATTGGAAAACATACTTACCAAGTTACCATGATGCTTTTGTTAAAAACAGAGGGTACTAGGACTACAAATACAATTAACCCTTTTTTTTCTGTGAGGAAAATTCATGAACAAATAAACATCATTACAGCATTCTGCTTCTTTTCCTTGGTATCGTTTGATTACCCTTGACCTTGAGAGTGGTTCTCGCGTGGACTGCAGAATCCAAGAATCGAGCCGTGGAGACAATAAAGAGACAGACTAATGTGATGAGGAGGTTTCGACTATCATTAAGCCGCGGCATGCCTAATCAGTAATCACCATGTTAACACATCTACACAACACATATCTGTTGCTAATCATCAATTAACAAATCACGAAACTAAAAAAGAAAAAAAAAAGGATTTTCTTCTGCGAGGAATTCAAACAGAGCAATCAATCATGAAGCAACTGCAACTCCAACCAAGCCGCTACGATCCTTCTTCGCAGAACCATTTCTGCTAGTACAACCAGACACGCCAGCAGCAGCAATCCAATCATCGGAAAACCCAACAACCGACGAAGCAGAAGAAGACTCCGACGACGACACCGCCGCCGAGCAAGACCTAGAAGTCAGGGCAGTCGAGTACCCACTGCCGCATTTCGCCACCGCGCTGACATTACGGACCAAATCGTGAGTAGAACCCTCTTGGGAAAGAATCTGCAGCAGCTGATCGGTGCCAATCACCAGCTTCACTTTCCAGAACCCTGCCTCCTCCTGATTCCGAACCTTCCCGCCGGAAACAGAGGAGGATGAAGAAAACGCCTCTGTATGCGACCTCTTCATGGCACCCTGCTTCTGGTTATGGTAATTGGAATCCAACGACATCCGGTAAGGCGTGAGGCCAGTGAGAGAGGAAGGGGAGCTCATCGATCTGACGTGGCCTTCTTTGACGGAGGAGAGCGACGCCGCCGCCACCGACGAAGGCTTTCCGGCGGGTTGCAGTTTCGGGTTTGGGAGGAGGTAGTAGGAGTGGCCGGGGCGGAGGTGGTCGGAGAGGGAGAGTGGGGTCCAGAACAGGTCGTGGGATGGGAAGATTGCGTGGCCCGGGAACTCGCCGGCGAGGCTGCCGGCGGTTATGGGAAAGTGGAATTCGAGGATGGCTCCGGTTGAAGTTATCACCCTAATCGCTTCACCTCCCCCGCCGCCGAACAAGCAGTTCCCCATTACGAAAGGGCTCGATTCGTTTCTAAGGATTGGTAACAATTGAAGTGGGTTTTTGGTGGGGAATGGAAAAACAGAGGAGGGAGGGAAAAGATATGAAAGTGAAATGAAATCGTCGGTGGGGATGGTTCTTGGTAATGGTGGGTTACTAGTTTTGTTTATTAGAAATGGATCCCACCGCATTGAAAAGAGACAAAAGGAAGGGATGGGAATTGGGAAGGCGGGCTTCTTAGTGCTACCACTGGTTTGGTGATTTGGTGATGTACGGCGTATATTATATTCAGACACGGTGACGGTGGTGGAGTTTTTTTTATTGTGAATTTGTGTGTGGAGTTGCATAGTTTATATACAAAAGATATGAGGTGAAAGTTAGGGATGATAATTTCGATATGAACTGTTTTACTTGATTTGTTTGGACTGTTTTGGGATGGGTTGCCTGGTCCGTTTTATCCGACATGTTTGGACTATTTTGGGGCGGGTCCGACCCGTCCCGTGGGTATGGGTACTCTTGTCGACCCGACCTGCCCTGACCTGCCCCATTGTCGACCTGTTCTTGCTTAAATTACATGTAATCTTAGTCAAATTACTTAGGATTTTCCTTTTATTAAATTATATTTTAGCTATAATAAAGTTGTAAACTAGTTAAAACCTCAATTTCTCCAATAACTTAACTACATTTATCATAATATGGTTTGTTTTCTTGGTCTTATAAAGAAAATAACGAATATTTCTAATGTTTTTTCATATAAATTGCGTACCCATTAGGTCGACCTGCCCTGACCCACGATCCATGATAAATTACCCAACCTGCCATGGGGCGAGTATCGGTATCGAGATATCCGCTCCGGACCTGCCCCATTGCCATTCCTAGTCAAAGTGGTGAGTTTTGCTATAGGGCTCGTAACACAATCTCTAAGAGCGTGCTATATTCGTCGTGAGTAGTTTGTAGGCGATTCATCAATTAGGTGTTTTATGAACACGATTCACAAGTGTTGTGTAAACACCATAGTCGGGTTGTAAATTGATGTGTTGACGACATTCAATTACTTACTAGTACTACTTAGGGATATCGATGGAGCAGGTTTAGCGGGTTCTCTTAAACCAAATGAACCAAAAATACTTTTGGTCGGATTCTAATCTTTATTTTTCTTTATTTTTGCTCCAGTCCTATCTTAATCCGATCTGATTATGGACTGAATCGATTGATGTCCGTCCCTAACTACGAGTAGTGTTGTAAAGTCTTTAAAGACATAGGGTTGGTTAATAAATGTTCTGGTGTTATGGGATATGGGTGGCAATTGAAGGAGGGGAAAGAGACCAAGGTTAACATCATAACCTTTTGCTCATTGTAGTCGGTGGCGGAGGGAGAGGGTAACAGGGTGGGTCCCGGGACCCACCATGGTTCGGGAAAAAATGGTTAAATTAGGTACGATAGTTAATTGATATCGAAAATAGGTCGCGTTTAGTTGAGAATAGTCTGTAGAAAAGTTTTGTGTTTGAATCTTGGCGACCTCATTTCTTAAGCATATGATATATAGATTTGTGCAAACATCAATTTCGTATAAGTTTACTTTCTTATAAGGGAGCATGGTAGTAAATTGTATAATATATTATTGAAATCTTCCAACAACTCGATTTATTGATACTAAATTTTTTTTTTAAGATCATTCGAAAGCGAACGACAAGGTAAATCATGAATTATTGGTTGGTATAAGATTTATTATTAAACCTCTATCAACAACTCGAGGTATTAACACTAACGGTTCTTAACAAAGAACACCATTTGAAACACTACCACTAACTAAATCAATGATTGTTTGGTATATATGCAGAGTGATATTCTTGATATTTTCGATTGCTAATGCATTTTAAATAGATGTATTGTTGAGAATGCATGTATAATATTATACATGTATTGTCGAATTTGATGCATTGTAGAATACAACGTTTGGTATGTGTGATTGTGTATGTCGCATAAGCTAAAAGCTTAGACAAAACAATCTCAACTCAACTATCTCAACAATCACTACTAAAAGTTGATATATAACAATCACTCAAAATGAGTGATAGTTTCTGTCACATTACAGAAACAATCCATGTATTGTTTCCGCTAAAAAAACGATGCATTGTAAACAATACATGCATGATGACAATCTCAACAAAACTATCGCAACTTCCAAACCACCCCTACGACTAACTAAATCAACGATTGTTTGGTATATATGCAAAGTGATATTCTTGATATTTTCGATTGTTAATGCATTTTAATTTATCAAAAATTTCAACGTACGATTATATTAAAAAAAATTATTTTATCATATTTATTTTTTTCGAGGTGGACCCACCGTAAACTGAATCCTGGCTACGTTACTATAAGTGGTGTCGATAGATAGACAGAGAAACATGGGAGCATTGATGGTGTTGTTACTTGGATATATGCTCCTTTTACCCTTTGTACTTTGCCTCTTGTTACCAACTTTTGATTGCTTGCCCCACCAGGGCAAAGGGCATCTTGGTGTTCAAGGTACAGATTACAGAATCTGCAGTTCAATGTGATTTTCCCGCCAACAGTATCTCTCCCTCTCTCTCTATTGCCTTCTCGTTCTCCGTTTCAATTTCAGACGACTTGCCCTCCCTTTCCTTTGGGGAAAACTTCGGTCAAGATTTTCGCGCTTTTCTTTTTGCCTTTAGATTCTTGCTGCGTAGCCAAAGGGTGGCGGGCTGAAACTTTTGCTGTTTCAATTACTGTTGGGGAGGGAACAGATTGAATGCGATGGCGACGGGGAAGCATGATTGTGCCGTGATTACAGCGTCACAAAGGGAGACCGACCGACCGACCGGAGTGCCAACTTTTCCTGACGACGACGACGGGGCTGCCGGTCTATTAAGTATTACGATCATGTTGGGCCGAAGCCTAAAATTATTCTCCACACAATCGGCTAAGCGGCGAGACCGAAGGCCCATTTCTGGCCCATCAACATCGTACACGCTTCAGCCCATTGTCAGCAGGCGTGTTGGAAGTAGCCTGGCCCACTCCCGCCGGCCCAGCCTTTGTTGCAGGAGCTGAATCCTCACCGGTCCCTGAAATTAGGGGTCGTTTGCTTCATGAATTTAAAAATGAGGGTTTTGTAATTTAAAAACCCAAGGATTGATCAAGGATTTGAGGCATAATGGATTTGTAACAATCCTTTGTTTGTTGAGATGTTTTTATCATGGATTTAAAGGTGTGGGATTTACTACTTGAAGTCCAAAATTACATTACTATCCTTGTCTATATGTTTGACATGTTTATGATATGTATACAAAACAAGGACAATACATACTAATAAGCATAATGTTGCCACATGGACAATAATAATAAACGAGAAAATTCCGTTTAACTTTTAACGTAACATAATCAATTACCAATTCTTTGTCCTCCTTTTCAAAAGTAACATATAACAACATATATTAGAATCGGGAGAACAAAGAATTACACGTTCCATGAAAAGGTCAAAGAAAACTAGAACACAAGAAATGATATAAAAAATCTAACTCATGTTTGCACATTAATTGAACGTTTATATTATTCATTTATTGTTAATTATAATGTATAATAGTTAAATTCGAGGGCAACCTTGGAATATTAAAAGTGCATGAGGGTATATGGGTAAAATCTTATCAAGGATTTATGTCATATTCCAAATCCCACATCAACATGTGGGATTTATAAGTCCGTGGGGTCCACGGATTTGGTCTCCAAAAAATGTGCAAGCAAACAACGGATTGTACCTAAATCCTTGATAGTTGGTTTTTTGGTACCAAATCCATGTACCAAATCCTTGAAGCAAACGACCCCTTAATTCCATAAGGACTACGGTTTCCTATTTATACCGTTATATGCTGGTTTAAGTTTAACACCTGATATGATACAATTAGGTTACAACTGATTTATATGTTTGATTATACCGGTCTTAACAAAACACATGAGAAAATAGAAAATCATTAAAACTAAAATAATTATGCATTTATATTATATATGTAAAGACTTAAGACAATCTACCTATAAATTATAATATCTTCATCTACGTTACATAAAATATTACATTACAAACAAAACGATAAATTATCATATTTAAATGCAACATTTAACGTCAACATTTATATGTTAAGTTAAAACTCCGCTTTAAAACTTAAAAACTTACGATTTTACGCATCTAGATCACCAAAACGTTTCTACATAGAAACTAGCTTTTGACTACATTGAGTGTACCGACTACCGAAGTAGCCACCATATATATATGTGTGTGTGGTTCATGTTGACGTACGCTAAATATTAGTATTTTGATTGACAAATTTTGACATAAGTTCTAAATGGGACGTGACAACGACATAATTTATGATTAGAAAACCAAAGCATCACAAGTGAGTGTGCTAAATATTGGAAATTTTCAATATAAACATACTACAAACTCTGTTATGAATCAATAACACAATAGAAGATCCAAAATAATTTATACATATAAATAAGTTAATTAATATAAATTATAAAATAAATCTCTCCGTTGCATCACCATTTTCTCAATTTTGGGTTTTGACTATTGTTTCATACCGATAATCTTCCAATCATTTTTTACCAATTGCACCTGTTTGTACCGGCCCGACATCAATAGTGCCAATTAGAATGTCGTGCGCGTCTTGATGATTTCATCGCCGGCGTCAGACATCACAGTCCATGATTTCTGTCAAGAACCAGTTGATCCCAGTAACTCGAGTTGCTGGGAGAGATTCAATTCTAGATCATATATCATTTATTAACACCCTCTTTTAAACTCAAGCCACTCAAATAGGCTTGGAGTTTGGACAGGCACAGGTCCGGACACCATGTGCTTAACAGAACAGATGGGGGCTACCAGGATTCGAACAAGAGACCTTACAATCACAAAAAGACTCTAATACCATGTCAAGAACAAGTTGATCCACACACTAACCATTTCGGCCATAGCTAGAGGTGGCAATTGGATCGGATTCGTGGATTGGATTGGTGGATCCATGAATCAAATGGATTGGTGGATTCATGGATTGGATCAAATGGATTGGTGGATTGATCCATGAATCCAAATGACATCCAAGGCTTGAACCAAAATGTAAATTTTGAAAATTTTAGGTATTAAAGTGTCATAATGAAAAATTTTAGGTACCAAAATGTAATTTTCCAATGATTTTTTTTTCGTATAAAAATATAAATTTTAGGTACCAAAATGTAAAATATAAAAAATATAGGTACCAAATCGTAATTTGCCATTTGGATCCATGGATTGATCAATAAATCCACCAATCCAATTGGATTTGGATCAAATGGATTGAATTTAAATGGATTGTATTAAGTGGATAATTTGGTGGATGGATTGGATTGGATTCATGGATTTGGATCTTAATTGCCACCTCTAGCCATAGCGGCCAGCCCCCAGAGCATCGCCGAACCACACACTATATAACCACCGGGCGACCGACAACCATTGCAGTTGTTTAATTGTCTAGGAGTCGGTATAGTCACGAATAACGACGTATTATATTGCTGTATTCTTGACGCGGCTACAGCTTTGAGGGATCGGAGCAGGAACATCAAACGTGGGAAAGCAATTAGTAAAAGAGAAAACCACATCTCTTTCATGATCCTTTTTTTTTTTCCAGAAAAGGAAATTAAAGTAAAGAAAACGTACAAGAACGGCGGCGGAAAAAGCACAAACGGCGGGGGAGTGAATGACCGGTGACGAGGGCCGGCGCTCATGCACTCGCTGTTCGCTAACCGACACTCACGTCATATGTAAATTTAACGTAACCATCGGACCTGCAGCTGTTGTCTTTGTTCTAGAAATACAAATTTATGATGAATACCCACACCGAGTTGGTGTGGTTGTGGAGTCCTATCAAATTAAATACCATCACGTGAATGATGATATAATACATACATTTATGTGTATATACGGTCCTAATTAATACTCCTATTACATTAATCAGCGACGGTAACAAAGATCGAGCAGCCTTCAATGTCTCTTGCCTACCACGTTGTTTGTTTTATATGAATCGAGCTGACTGGGAATTTTGCTATCACATCGTTTGTTTCAGGAAATTTTATTGCTGAACTTATTACAAAAAAGTTACCCAAATCGATAATTAACAGACTTATCATCCGTGGAGAATAGGATCAATACACTCCAGAATCGAAAGAAAATGGCATTTCGGATAAATTGCCCGAAATCTGTGATGGTACTCCTTTGGAATCTGCCAAAAATTGACCCGAAATAAATCCGCTCAAATCGGTGCTTAATGGACTCAATCATTGTTGGAGAATAGCCTCAGGCCGAATCCGTGATCTGTAGCCTTCAATATTCAAAGAAAATGGACTTTCGTCGCCCAAGAAATTACGAAAATGTCATCCGAAATTAAATTGGCCCAAATCGATGCTTAACGGACTTATCATCCGTGGAGAATAGGATAAATAGACTTCATTATCGGTGGATAATAGCATCGGCCTGATTTCGTGATCTGTAGCCTCCAGAATCGAAAGAAAATGGCATTTCCGATAAATCGCCCGAAATCTGTGATGGTACCCCTTTGGAATCTGCCAAAAATTGACCCAGAATAAATCCGCCCAAATCGGTGCTTAATGGACTCAATCATCATTGGAGAATAGCCTCAGACCGAATCCGTGATCTGTAGCCTTCAATATTCAAAGCAAATGGAATTTCGTCGCACAAGAAATTACGAAAATGCCATCCGAAAATAAATTGGCCCAAATCGATGCTTAACGGACTTATCATCCGTGGAGAATTGGATCAATAGACTTCATTATCGGTGGATAATAGCCTCGGCCTGATTCCGTGATCAGTAGCCTCCAGAATCGAAAGAAAATGGCATTTCGGATAAATCGCCCGAAATTTGTGATGGTACCCCTTTGGAAACTGCCAAAAATTGACCAGGAATAAATCCGCCCAAATCGATGCTTAATGGACTCAATCATCGTTGGAGAATAGCCTCAGGCCGAATCCGTGATCTGTAGCCTTCAATATTCAAAGAAAATGGACTTTCGTCGCTCAAGAAATTACGAAAATGCCATCCGAAAATAAATTGGCCCAAATCGATGCTTAACGGACTTATCATCCGTGGAGAATTGGATCAATAGACTTCATTATCGGTGGATAATAGCCTCGGCCTGATTCCGTGATCTGTAGCCTCTAGAATCGAAAGAAAATGACATTTCAGATAAATCACCCGAAATCTGTGATGGTACCCATTTGGAATCTGCCAACAATTGACACGGAATAAATCCGCCCAAATCGGTGCTTAATGGACTCAATCATCATTGGAGAATAGCCTCAGGCCGAATCCGTGATCTGTAGCCTTCAATATTCAAAGAAAATGGACTTTCGTCGCCCAAGAAGTTACGAAAATGCCATTAGAAAATAAATTGGCCCAAATCGATGCTTAACGGACTTATCATCCGTGGAGAATAGGATCAATAGACTTCATTATCGTTGGATAATAGGCTCGGCCCTATTCCGTGATCTGTAGCCTCCAGAATCGAAAGAAAATGACATTTTAGATAAATCGCCCGAAATCTGTGATGGTACCCCTTTGGAATCTGCCAAAAATTGACCCGGAATAAATCCGCCCAAATCGGTGCTTAATGGACTCAATCATCGTTGGAGAATAGCCTCATGCCAAATCAGTGATATGTAGCCTTCAGTATTCAAAGAAAATGGACTTTCGTCACCCAAGAAATTACGAAAATGCCATCCGAAAATAAAATGGCCCAAATCGATGCTTAACGGACTTATCATCCGTGGAGAATGGGATCAATAGACTTTATTATCGGTGGATAATAGCCTCGGCCTGATTCCGTGATCGGTAGCCTCCAGAATCGAAAGAAAATGGCATTTCGGATAAATCGCCCGAAATCTGTGATAGTACCCCTTTGGAATCTACCAAAAATTGACCAGGAATAAATCAGCCCAAATCGATGCTTAATGGACTCAATCATCGTTGGAGAATAGCCTCAGACCGAATCTGTGATCTGTAGCCTTCAATATTCAAAGAAAATGGACTTTCGTCGCACAAGAAATTACGAAAATGCCATTAGAAAATCAATTGGCCCAAATCGATACTTAACGGACTTATCATCCGTGGAGAATAGGATCAATAGACTTCATTATTGTTGGATAATAGCCTCGGCCCAATTGCGTGATCTGTAGCCTCCAGAATCAAAAGAAAATCGCATTTCAGATAAATCGCCCGAAATCTGTGATGGTACCCCTTTGAAATTTGACAAAAATTGACCCGGAATAAATCCGCCCAAATCGGTGCGTAATGGACTCAATCATCGTTAGAGAATAGCCTCAGGTCGAATCCGTGATCTGTAGCCTTCAATATTCAAAGAAAATGGACTTTCGTCGGCCAAGAAATTTCGAAAATGCCATCCGAAAATAAATTGGCCCAAGTCGATGCTTAACGGACTTATCTTCCGTGGAGAATAGGATCAATAAACTTCATTATCGGTGGATAATAGCCTCGGGCGGAGAATAGGATCAATAGACTTCATTATCGGTGGATAATAGCCTCGGGCTGATTCCGTGATCTGTAGCCTCCTGAATCAAAATAAAATGACATTTCGGATAAATCGCCCGAAATCTGTGATGGTACCCCTTTGGAATCTGCCAAAAATTGACCAGGAATAAATCCGCCTAAATCGGTGCTTAATTGACTCAATTATCGTTGGAGAATAGCATCAGGGCGAATCTGTGATCTGTAGCCTTCAATATTCAAAGAAAATAGACTTTCGTCGCCCAAGAAATTACGAAAATGCCATCCGAAATTAAATTGGCCCAAATCGATGCTTAACGGACATATCATCCGTGGAGAATAGGATCAATAGACTTCATTATCGGTGGATATTAGAATCGGCCTGATCCCATGATCTGTAGCTTCCAGAATCGAAAGAAAATGGCATTTCGGATAAATCGGCCAAAATCTGTGATGGTACCCTTTGGAATCTGCCAAAAATTGACCCGGAATAAATCCGCCCAAATCGGTGCTTAATGGACTCAATCATCGTTGGAGAATAGCCTCAGGCCGAATCCGTGATCTGTAGCCTTCAATATTCAAAGAAAATGGACTTTCGTCGCCCAAGAAATTACAAAAATGCCATTAGAAAATAAATTGGCCCAAATCGATGCTTAACGGACTTATCATTCGTGGAGAATTGGATAAATAGACTTCATTATCGGTGGATAATAGCCTCGGCCTGATTTCGTGATCGGTAGCCTCCAGAATCAAAAGAAAATGGCATTTCGGATAAATCGCCCGAAATCTGTGATAGTACCCCTTTGGAATCTGCCAAAAATTGACCAGGAATAAATCCGCCCAAATCGATGCTTAATGGACTCAATCATCGTTGGAGAATAGCCTCAGGACGAATCCGTGATCTGTAGCCTTCAATATTCAAAGAAAATGGACTTTCGTCGCCCAAGAAATTACGAAAATGCCATCCGAAAATAAATTGGCCCAAATCGATGCTAAACGGACTTATCATCCGTGAAGAATTGGATCAATAGACTTCATTATCGGTGGATAATAGCCTCGGCCTGATTCCGTGATCTGTAGCCTCTAGAATCGAAAGAAAATGGCATTTAAGATAAATCCCCAGTAATATGTGATGGTACCCATTTGGAATCTGCCAACAATTGACCCGGAATAAATCCGCCCAAATCGGAGCTTAATGGACTCAATCATCATTGGAGAATAGCCTCAGGCCGAATCCGTGATATGTAGCCTGCAATATTCAAAGAAAATGGACTTGCGTCGCCCAAGAAATTACGAAAATGCCATCCGAAAATAAATTGGCCCAAATCAATGCTTAACGGACTTATCATACGTGGAGAATAGGATCAATAGACTTCATTATCGTGGGATAATAGCCTCGGCCCTATTACGTGATCTGTAGCCTCTAGAATCGAAAGAAAATGGTAATTTAAATAAATCGCCCGAAATCTGTGATGGTACCCCTTTGGAATCTGCCCAAAATTGACCCAAAATAAATCCGCCCAAATCGATGCTTAATGGACTCAATTATCGTTAGAGAATAGTCTCAGGCCGAATCCGTGATCTGTAGCCTTCAATATTCAAAGAAAATGGACTTTCGTCGCTTAAGAAATTACGAAAATGCCATCTGAAATTAAATTGGCCCAAATCTATGCTTAACGGGCTTATCATCCGTGGAGAATATGATCAATAGACTTCATTATCGTGGGATAATAGCCTCGACCCTATTCCGTGAACTGTAGCCTCCAGAATAGAAAGAAAATGGCATTTCAGATAAATCGCCCGAAATCTGTGATGGTACCCCTTTGGAATCAGCCAAAAATTGACCCGGAATAAATCCGCCCAAATCGGTGCTTAATGGACTCAATCATCATTGGAGAACAGCCTCAGGCCGAATCCGTAATCTGTTGCCTTCAATATTCAAAGAAAATGGACTTTCGTCGCCCAAGACATTACGAAAATGCCATCCGAAAATAAATTGGCCCAAATCGATGCTTAACGGACTTATCATCCGTGGAGAATAGGATCAATAGACTTCATTATCGGTGGATAATAGCCTAGGCCTGATTCTGTGATCTGTAGCCTCCAGAATCGATAGAAAATGGCATTTCGGAAAAATTGCCCGAAATCTGTGATGGTACCCCTTTGGAATCTGCCAAAAATTGACCCGGAATAAATACGCCAAAATCGGTGTTTATTGGACCCAATCATCGTTGGAGAATAGTCTCAGGCCGAATCCTTGATCTGAAGCCTTCAATATTCAAAGAAAATAAACTTCCGTCGCCCAGGAAATTACAAAAATGCCATTCGAAATTAAATTGGCCCAAATCGATGCTTAACAGACTTATCATCCGTGGAGAATAGGATCAATAGACTTCATTATCGGTGGATAATAGCCTCGCATAATTCCGTGATCTGTAGCCTCCAGAATCGATAGAAAATGGCATTTCGGAAAAATTGCCCGAAATCTGTGATGGTAGCCCTTTGGAATCTGCCATAAATTGAACCCGAATAAATCCGCCTAAATCGGTGCTTAATGGACTCAATTATCGCTGTAGAATAGCCTCAGGCCGAATCCGTGATATGTAGCCTTCAATATTAAAAAAAATGGACTTGGGTCGCCAAGAAATTGCAAAAATGCCATCCAAAAACAAATTGGCCCAAATCGATGCTTAACGGACTTATCTTCCGTGGAGAATAGGATCAATAGACTTCATTATCGGTGGATAATAGCCTCGGCCTGATTCCGTGATCTGTAGCCTCCAGAAGCGAAAGAAAATGGCATTTCGAATAAATCGCACGAAATCTGTGATGGTACCCCTTTGGAATCAGCCAAAAATTGACCCGGAATAAATACGCCCAAATCGGTGCTTAATGGACTCAATCATCGTTGGAGAATAGCCTCATGCCAAATCCGTGATCTGTAGCCTTCAATATTCAAAGAAAATGGACTTTCGTCGCCCAAGACATTTCGAAAATGCCATCCGAAAATAAATTGGCCCAAATCGATGCTTAACGGACTTATCATCCGTGGAGAATAGGATCAATAGACTTCATTATCGGTGGATAATATCCTCGGCTTGATTCTGTAATCTGTAGCCTCCAGAATCGATAGAAAATGGGATTTCGGAAAAATTGCCTGAAATCTGTGATGGTACCCCTATGGAATCAGCCAACAATTGACCAGGAATAAATCCGCCCAAATTGGTGGTTAATGGACTCAATCATCGTTGGAGAATAGCCGCAGGCCGAATCCGTAATCTGTAGCCTTAAATATTCAAAGAAAATGGACTTTCGTCGCCCAAGAAATTATGAAAATGCCATCCGAAAATAAATTGGCCCAAATCGATGCTTAACGGACTTATCATCCGTGGAGAATATGATCAATAGACTTCATTATCGGTGGATAATATCCTCGGCCTGATTTTGTGATCTGTAGCTTCCAAAATCGAAAGAAAATGGCATTTCGGATAAATCTCCCAAAATCTGAGATGGTACCCCTTTGGAATCTGCCAAAAATTGACGCGGAGTAAATCCGCCCAAATTGGTGCTTAATGGACTCAATCATCGTTGGATAATAGCCTCAGGCCGAATCCGTGATCTGTAGCCTTCAATATTCAAAGAAAATGGACTTGCGTCGCCCAAGAAATTACGAAAATGCCATCCGAAAATAAATTGTCCCAAATCGATGCTTAACGGACTTATCTTCCGTGGAGAATAGGATCAATAGACTTCATTATCGGTGGATAATACCCTAGGCCTGATTTCGTGATCTGTTGCCTCCAAAATCGAAAGAAAATGGCATTTCGGATAAATCGCCCGAAATCTGTGATGGTACCCCTTTGGAATCAGCCAAAAATTGACCAGGAATAAATCCGCCCAAATCGGTGCTTAATAGACTCAATCATCGTTGGTGAATAGCCTCAGGACGAATCCGTGATATGTAGCCTTCAATATTCAAAGAAAATGGACTTGCGTCTCCCAAGAAATTACGAAAATGCCATCCGAAAATAAATTGGCCCAAATAGATGCTTAACGAAGTTATCTTACGTGAAGAATAGGATCAATAGACTTCATTATCGGTGGATAATAGCCTCGGCCTGATTCCGTGATCTGTAGCCTCCAGAATCGAAAGAAAATGGCATTTCGAATAAATCACCCGAAATCTGTGATAGTACCCCTTTGGAATCTGCCAAAAATTGACCCGGGATAAATCCTTCCAAATCCGTCTTAATGGACTCAATCATCGTTGGAGAATAGCCTCATGCCGAATCCACGATCTGTAGCCTTCAATATTCCAAGAAAATGGACTTTAGTCGCCCAAGAAATTACGAAAATATCATCCGAAATTAAATTGGCTCAAATCGATGCTTAACGAACTTATCATCCGTGGAGAATAGGATCAATAGACTTCATTATCGTGGGATAATAGCCTCGGCCCCATTACATGATCTGTAGCTTCCAGAATCGAAAGAAAATGGCATTTCAGATAAATCGCCCGAAATCTGTGCTGGTACCCATTTGGAATCTGCCAAAAATTGACCCGGAATTAATCCACCCAAATCGGTGCTTAATGGACTTATCTTCCGTGGAGAATAGGATCAATAGACTTCATTATCGGTGGAGAATAGCCTCGGCCTGATTCCGTGATCTGTAGCCTCCAGAATCGAAAGAAGGCATTTCAGATAAATCGCCTGAAATCTTTGATGGTACCCCTTTTGAATCTGTCAAAAATTGACCCAGAATAAATCCGCCCAAATCGGTGCTTAATGGACTCAATCATCGTTGGAGAATATCCTCAGGCCGAATCTGTGATCTGTAGCCTTCAATATTCAAAGAAAATGGACTTTCGTCGCCCAAGAAATTACAAAAATGCCATCCGAAAATAAATTGGCCCAAATCGATGATTAACAGACTTATCATCCGTGGATAATAGAATCAATAGACTTCATTATCGGTGGAGAATAGCCTCGACCTGATTCCGTGATCTGTAGCCTCCAGAATTGAAAGAAAATTGTATTTCGGATAAATCGCCCGAAATCTATGATTGTACCCCTTTGCAATTTGCCAAAAATTGACCTGGAATAAATCCGCCCAAATCGGTGCTTAATGGACTCAATCATCGTTGGAGAATTGCCTCAGGCCAAATCCGTGATCTGTAGCCTTCAATATTCAAAGAAAATGGACTTTCGTCACCTAAGAAATTATGAAAATGCCACCTGAAAATAAATTGGCCCAAATCTATACTTAACGGACTTATCATCCGTGGAGAATTGGATCAATAGACTTCATTATCGGTAGATAATTGCCTCGGCTTGATTTCGTGATCTGTAGCCTCCAGAATCGAAAGAAAATGGCATTTCGAATAAATCGCACGAATTCTGCGATGGTACCCCTTTGGAATCTGCCAAAAATTGACCCGGAATAAATCCGCCCAAATCGGTGCTTAATGGACTCAATCGTCGTTGGAGAATAGCCTCAGGCCGAATCCGTGATCTGTAGCCTTCAATATTCAAAGAAAATGGACTTTCGTCGCCCAAGTAATTACGAAAATGCCATCCGAAAATAAATTGGCCCAAATCGATGCTTAGCGGACTTATCATCCGTGGAGAATAGGATCAATAGACTTCATTATCGATGGATAATATCCTCGGCCTGATTCCGTGATCTGTAGCCTCCAGAATCGAAAGAAAATGGTATTTCAGATAAATCGCCCGAAATCTGCGATGTTACCCCTTTTGGAATCTGCCAAAAATTGACCCGGAATAAATCCGTCCAAATCGATGCTTAATGGACTCAATCATCATTGGAGAATAGCCTCAGGCCGAATCCGTGATTTGGAGCCTTCAATATTCAAAGAAAATGGACTTTCGTCGCCCAAGTAATTACGAAAATGCCATCCGATAATAAATTGGCCCAAATCGATGCTTGGCGGACTTATCATCCGTGGAGAATAGGATCAATAGACTTCATTATCGGTGGATAATAGCCTCGGCCTGATTCCGTGATCTGTAGCCTCCAAAATCTAAAGAAAATGGCATTTCGGATAAATTGCACGAAATCTGTGATGGTACCCCTTTGGCATCTGCCAAAAATAGACGCGGAATAAGTCAACCCAAATCGGTACTTAATGGACTCAATCATCGTTGGAGAATATCCTCAGGGCGAATCTGTGATCTGTAGCCTTCAATATTCAAAGAAAATGGACTTTCGTCGCCCAAGAAATTACGAAAATGCCATCCGAAATTAAATTGGCCCAAATCGATGCTTAGCGGACTTATCATCCGTGGAGAATAGGATCAATAGAATTCATTATCGGCGGATAATAGCCTCGGCCTGATTCCGTGATTTGTAGCCTCCAGAATCCAAAGAAAATGGCATTTCGGATAAATTGCCCGAAATCTGTGATGGTACGCCTTTGGAGTCTGCCAAAAATTGAACAGGAATAAATCCGTCCAAATCGGTGCTTAATGGACTCAATTATCGTTGGAGAAGAGCCTCACGGCAAATCAATGATCTGTAGCCTTCAATATTCATAGAAAATGGACTTTCGTCGCCCAAGAAATTACGAAAATGCCATCCGAAACAAAATTGGCCCAAATCGATGCTTAGCGGACTTATCATCCGTGGAGAATAGGATCAATAGACTTCATTATCGGTGGATAATAGCCTCGGCCTGATTCCGTGATCTGTAGCCTCCAGAATCGAAAGAAAATGGCATTTCGAATAAATCACCCGAAATCTGTGATAGTACCCCTTTGGAATCTGCCAAAAATTGACCCGGGATAAATCCGTCCAAATCCATCTTAATGGACTCAATCATCGTTGGAGAATAGCCTCATGCCGAATCCATGATCTGTAGCCTTCAATATTCCAAGAAAATGGACTTTAGTCGCTCAAGAAATTACGAAAATATCATCCGAAATTAAATTGGCTCAAATCGATGCTTAACGAACTTATCATCTGTGGAGAATAGGATCAATAGACTTCATTATCTGTGGATAATACCCTCGGCCTGATTCTGTGATCTGTAGCCTCCAGAATCGAAAGAAAATGGCATTTCGCACAAATCTCGCGAAATCTGTGATGGGACCCCTTTGGAATCTGCGAAAAATTGACCCGGAATAAATCCGCCCAAATCAGTGCTTAATGGACTCAATCATCGTTGGAGAATAGCCTTAAGCCGAATTCGTGATCTGTAGCCTTCAATATTTAAAGAAAATGGACTTTCGTCGTCAAAGAATTTACGAAAATGCCATCCGAAAATAAATTTCCCCAAATCGATGCTTAACGGACTTATCATCTGTAGAGAATATGATCAATAGACTTCATTATCGGTGGATCATAGCCTCGGCCTGATTCCATGATCTTTAGCCTCTAGAATCGAAAGAAAATGGCATTTCGGATAAATCGCCCGAAATCTGTGATGGTACCCCTTTGGAATCTGGCAAAAATTGACCCGGAATAAATCAGCCGAAATCGGTGCTTAATGGACTCAATCATCGTTGGAGAATAACCTCAGGCCGAATCCATGATCTGTAGCCTTCAATATTCAAAGAAAATGGACTTTCGTCGCCCAAGAAATTACGAAAATGCCATCCGAAATTAAATTGGCCCAAATCGATGCTTAGCGGACTTATCATCCGTGGAGATTAGGATAAATAGACTTCATTATCGGTGGATAATAGCCTCAGCCTGATTCTGTGATGTGTAGCCTCCAGAATCTAAAGAAAATGGCATTTCGGATAAATCGCACGAAATTTGTGATGGTACCCCCTTTGGAATCTGCCGAAAATTGACATGGAATAAATCCACCCAAATTGGTGCTTAATGGACTCAATCATCGTTGGAGAATAGCCTCAGGCCGAATCCATGGTCTGTAGCATTCAATATTCAAAGAAAATGGACTTTCGTCGCCCAAGAAATTACGAAAATGCCATCCAAAAATAAATTTGCCCAAATCGATGCTTAACGGACTTATCATGCGTGGAGAATAGGATCAATAGACTTCATTATCGGTGTATAATAGCCTCGACCTGATTCCGTGATCTGTAGCCTGCAGAATCGAAAGAAAATGGTATTTCGGATAAATCGCCCGAAATCTGTGATGTTACCCCTTTTGAATATGCCAAAAACTGACCCGGAATAAATCCGTCCAAATCGGTGCCTAATGGAATCAATCATCGTTGGAGAATAGCCTCAGGCCGAATTCGTGATCTGTAGCTTTCAATATTTAAAGAAAATGGACTTTCGTCGCCCAAGAAATTACGAAAATGCCATCAGAAAATAAATTGGCCCAAATCAATGCTTAACGAACTAATCATCCGTGGAGAATAGGATCAATAGACTTCATTATCGGTGAATAATAGCCTCGGCCTGATTCCGGGATCTGTAGCCTCTAAAATCAAAAGAAAATGGCATTTCGTATAAGTCGCCCGAAATCTGTGATGTACAGTTTTGGAATTTGCCAAAAATTGAACCGGAATAAATCCGTCCAAATCGGTGCTTAATGGACTCAATCATAGTTGGAGAATAGCCTCATTCCGAATCCATGATCTGTAGCCTTCAATATTCAAAGAAATTGGACTTTCGTCGCCCAAAAAATTACGAAAATGCCATCCGAAAATAAATTGGCCCAAATCGATTCTTAGCGGACTTATCATCCGTAGAGAATAGGATCAATAGACTTCATTATCGGTGGATAATAGCCTCGGCCTGATTCCGTGATATGTAGCCTCCAGAATAGAAAGAAAATGGCATTTCGAATAAATCACACTAAATCTGTGATAGTACCCCTTTGGAATCTGCCAAAAATTGACCCGGGATAAATCCGTCCAAATCCGTCTTAATGGACTCAATCATCGTTGGAGAATAGCCTCATGCCGAATCCATGATCTGTAGCCTTCAATATTCCAAGAAAATGGACTTTAGTCGCCCAAGAAATTACGAAAATATCATCCGAAATTAAATTGGCTCAAATCGATGATTAACGAACTTATCATCCGTGGAGAATAGGATCAATAGACTTCATTATATGTGGATAATTCCCTCGGCCTGATTCCGTGATCTGTAGCCTCCAGAATCGAAAGAAAATGGCATTTCGCACAAATCTCACGAAATCTGTGATGGGACCCCTTTGGAATCTGCCAAAAATTGACCCGGAATAAATCCACCCAAATCGGTGCTTAATGGACTCAATCATCGTTGGAGAATAGCCTTAAGCCGAATTCGTGATCTGTAGGCTTCAATATTTAAAGAAAATGGACTTTCGTCGTCAAAGAATTTACGAAAATGCCATCCGAAAATAAATTTCCCCAAATCGATGCTTAACGGACTTATCATCCGTAGAGAATATGATCAATGGACTTCATTATCGGTGGATCATAGCCTCGGCCTGATTCTATGATCTTTAGCCTCTAGAATGGAAAGTAAATGGCATTTCGGATAAATCGCCCGAAATCTGTGATGGTACCCCGTTGGAATCTGGCAAATATTGACCCGGAATAAATCCGCCGAAATTGGTGCTTAATGGACTCAATCATCGTTGGAGAATAGCCTCAGGCCGAATCCATGATCTGTAGCCTTCAATATTCAAAGAAAATGGACTTTCGTCGCCCAAGAAATTACGAAAATACCATCCGAAAATAAATTGGCCCAAATCGATGCTTAGCAGACTTATCATCCGTAGAGATTAGGATCAATAGACTTCATTATCGGTGGACAATAGCCTCAGCCTGATTCTGTGATCTGTAGCCTCCAGAATCGAAAGAAAATGGCATTTCAGATAAATCGCACGAAATTTGTGATGGTACCCCTTTGGAATCTGCCGAAAATTGACCCGGAATAAATCCGCCCAAATTGGTGCTTAATGGACTCAATCATCGTTGGAGAATAGCCTCAGGCCGAATCCGTGGTCTGTAGCATTCAATATTCAAAGAAAATGGACTTTCGTCGCCCGAGAAATTACGAAAATGCCATCCGAAAATAAATTTGCCCAAATCGAAGCTTAACGGAATTATCATGCGTGGAGAATAGGATCAATAGACTTCATTATCGGTGGATAATAGCCTCGACCTGATTCCGTGATCTGTAGCCTGCAGAATCGAAAGAAAATGGTATTTTGGATAAATCGCCCGAAATTTGTGATGTTACCCCTTTGGAATCTGCCAAAAATTGACCCGGAATAAATATGTCCAAATCGGTGCTTAATGGAATTAATCATCGTTGGAGAATAGCCTCAGGCCGAATCTGTGGTCTGTAGCATTCAATATTCAAAGAAAATGGACTTTCGTCGCCCGAGAAATTACGAAAATGCCATCCGAAAATAAATTAGCCCAAATCGAAGCTTAACGGAATTATCATGCGTGAAGAATAGGATCAATAGACTTCATTATCGGTGGATAATAGCCTCGACCTGATTCCGTGATCTGTAGCCTGCAGAATCGAAACAAAATGGTATTTTGGATAAATCGCCCGAAATTTGTGATGTTACCCCTTTGGAATCTGCCAAAAATTGATCCGGAATAAATCCGTCCAAATCGGTGCTTAATAGACTCAATCATCGTTGGAGAATAGCCTCAGGCCGAATTCGTGATCTGTAGCCATCAATATTCAATGAAAATGGACTTTCGTCGCCCAAGAAATTACGAAAATGTCATCCGAAAATAAATTGGCCCAAATCGATGCTTAACGGACTTATCATCCGTGGAGAATAGGATCAATAGATTTCATTATCGGTGGATAATAGCCTTGGCCTGATTCCGTGATCTGTAGCCTCCAGAATCAAAAGAAAATGACATTTTGGATAAATCTACTGAAATCTGTGATGTACCCCTTTGGAATCTGCCAAAATTGACCCGGAATAAATCCGCCCAAATTGGTGCTTAATGGACTCAATCATCGTTGGAGAATAGCCTCAGGCCGAATCCGTGATCTGTAGCCTTCAATATTCAAAGAAAATGGTATTTCGTCGCTCAAGTAATTACGAAAATGCCATCCGAAAATAAATTGGCCCAAATCGATGCTTAGCGGACTTATCTTCTGTGGAGAATAGGATCAATAGACTTCATTATCGGTGGGTAATAGCCTCGCCTGATTCCGTGATCTGTAGCCTCTAGAATCAAAAGAAAATGGCATTTCGTATAAATCGCCTGAAATCTGTGATGTACCCCTTTGGAATCTGCCAAAAATTAAACCGCAGCAAATCCGTCAAAATCGGTGCTTAATGGACTCAATCATCGTTGGAGAATAGCCTTAGGCCGAATCCATAATCTGTAGCCTTCATTATACAAAGAAAATGGACTTTTGTCGCCCAAGAAATTACGAAAATGCCATCCGAAAATAAATTGGCCCAAATCGATGCTTAACGGACTTATCATCCGAGGAGAATAGGATCAATAGACTTCATTATCGGTGGATAATAGCCTCGGCCTGATTCTGTGATCTGTAGCCTCCAGAATCGCAAGAAAATGGAATTTCGTGTGAATCGCCAGAAATCTATGATGGTACCCCTTTTGTATATTCCAAAAATTGACCCGGAATAAATCTGTCCAAATCGGTGCTTAACGGACTCAATCATCGTTGGAGAATAGCCTTAGGCTGAATCCGTGATCTGTAGCCTTAAATATTCAAAGAAAATGGACTTTCGTCGCCCAAGAAATTATGAAAATGCCATCCGAAAATAAATTGGCCCAAATCGATGCTTAGCGGACTTATCATCCGTGGAGAATAGGTTCAATAGACTTCATTATTGTTGGATAATAGCCTCGGCCTGATTCCGTGATCTGTAGCCTCCAGAATCGAAAGAAAATGGCATTTCGGATAAATCGCCTGAAATCTATCATGGCACCCCTTTGGAATCTGCTAAAAATTGACCCAGAATAAATTCGCCCAAATTGGTGCTTAATGGACTCAATCATCGTTGGAGAATAGCCTCAGGCCAAATCCGTGATCTGTAGCCTTCAATATTCAAAGAAAATGGACTTTCGTCGCCCAAGAAATTACGAAATGCCATCCGAAAATAAATTGGCCCAAATTGATGCTTAGCAGACTTATCATCCGTGGAGAATAGGTTCAAT